GTGACCAGAGTTCAAGAAATCAAGCTGGGCACCAAGGGTTTAGGGTTTAGGGTAGCAATGCACCGCGCCTTTTATGGGGCTTAAGGGTTTAGGGAGCATGGTCCCTGTTGTTGCTGAAAGCCATGACATGTCTAGAACCTCGCAGGCACAAAATCGTGAACATGCTTCCCATTAGACATGTGTATGTGTGTATATATATATGTATGTTTATGTATATATGTATATACAGACATAGATATATGTGTGTAGGTAGTATATACATACACATGTACATATGCCATATGTAGACACATATACGTATACTATATTTACCAGTATTTTGTCATCAGCCTTCAAGCGCCTTTTTGCCTGTCGCCTTCTTGGGTCACCATGGCCGTCCGGCCCTCAAGCAGCGGAGGGGACGGGCGGGGCTCAAAATCTGCCATTCACCGTCATAAGGGTTTAATTTAACCAGGGTTAAGGGTTGTCCAAGATTTCCGCGTACCATTTTAGGGTTCCAATAGTGAGGATTTTAGCACATTGAGGTCTATAGTGGGGTCCCTGCATGCATGGAAACAGCCATCTGTTGGCAAAGAGTATAGCTGCTACCGTCCGCAGCTGTCTTTGCAGAGGAGGATGACCACGCAGTCTGTGCAACAACCTGGAAGAATCAAATGGTACATCTGTGTGGCATTAACACACATCATGTCAGCCAGAGCAGTGCTAAGATGCAAGCTATCTCAGCGTAACTCCCTCGGAGGGACTATGAAGGAGTTTCAGCTTTACTGAGCGCTCCTGGTTCAACTGCCATGACAAGGTTCTTGTTCACAAGAGCTACGTAAAGGCAAATAGTGCTTGCAGACTTCAGATAACGGGGGGACATAGGGCTTACCTCGGGATTCTTATAGGGTCCGCGCCTTCTTTCCCTGGCCATGTCCCTGCGTCCGGCGCTATACGCCTCCAGTCCCGCAGCGCGAACGGGGCCTCGGACATCAAGTGGGCAGCTCCGGGCTCTTTGCCAGCAGATTCGGGTTTAGGGTTTAGGGCCTTTGATTTGTGGGGCTTTTAGAGGGGACAGATGGGTATCTAGATATATACAGAAAGATTTATAGGGTATAGGGCTTCGATTCAAGAAATGGGGGGGGGGTGCCAGTTTGGGAGGCCCTTGACATGTGTATTGTATCACATTTTTACGTGTATTGCGTCCCTTTGGAAGCCCCTATAATCACTTGGTGCAATACATCTCCTGTCCTCTGGATTTCCATTCAGGGTTTAGGGGCTTAGGGTTTAGGGTTTAGGGTGTAGGGTCCCATTTTGCAAGACCCTCTCAGTACCCTTCAATGTGGCCCTCATAGTGATTACTTGGGCCCGATGAGAGGTTAGTTGGAGGTGCTAGGTTACAGCAACAAAGTTGAATGCAGTTTTAAGAATCCGTTGTTTTTAACAACGAACTATGCCATGACTACTAAACCCCTAAACCCTAAACCCTAAAGCTGTTACCCCAATGAGATGGAAGGAGATTAGTTTCCTGATGCTTTGCCCATCTGGGAACCTTAGGCCAGGATGGTGACGTTCCAATTATGGAATCCTATGCTTGGAGGTCCGTTTTACTTATAACCTACTTAGTAACTGTAGTTATAACCTTATTATATCTAGGGTAATAGTAATTCTGGGACTTATAATTAGGATATAACTACAGTTACTAATTAGGTTATAAGTACAACGGACCTCCAAGTACTACTCTACTATCTCCCCCTCCCCGAAGCAGTCACGGGCGATTAGGGTTTAGGGTTCAGGGCCTAAACCCTGAGCCCCTGAACCCTAAACCCCTAAACCCCTAAACCCTAAACTGCTAAACCCCTAAACCCTAGAAAGTATAGGATCCCATACTCCCATACTCAGCAAGTAGCCTGACATCTGGCTACGACCCGTCCCAGGCTAGGGTTGCCAAGGTCTTCTTAGGGTTTAGGGTTAAGGGGTTTAGGGTTTAGGGTTAGTTACCCTCAGCCATGGAAAATCTAATCGAAAAGAGAGTGGACAACGCCTTGGTTACTGTTCTTATGTCGTGGTTTGCAGTGATTTCTGTATTGTAGAAGCCTAAACCACTTGCCCGGTATCTACCAGTACTATGTTCGCGAAGTCAACGAAATGGGTACTTCACTCTGTGAGTATCTAGCCTCCAAGCCTAAACCCGAAACCCTAAATCCTAAACCCCAAGCCCTAAACCCTAAACCAGCAACCGACACGGACGTTTGTGAAAGGCCAGAAGATCTTGCTTGGTGCTGTCATTGGTGGGAAAAATTATTGCCGGCATTGAGGGCTGAGGAACATATCATGCTGGCAACTCGAAACACGGCCTGTGAGATTGGAAGTGGAAGTGCGTGTGAGAATGGTAATGAAGTGCCGGATACTGTCCAATCCAGCCAGGCACCGACGGAGGAGGTCGCAACCCAGCCTGATCCGGACGAGCAGGAACGTGAGCTGGAGCAGGCTGTCCTTGAAGAGGATGCATACCAGGCACAGAGGGCTTTGGACAAACAGGTGAAAGAACATGACGAATTGGTGGCGGCGGAAGAAGCAGCAGACGCGGAAAGGTATGACCTCTACCAGAAAGACAAGAAAGCCCAACGTGCCCAAGAATGGGAAGATTGGGCCCTCTTCTCAGAGCTCAACCCAAAGGGCCAAGACCATGGTGTGGAGCTGCACGCGAGAAAGAGGACTATGCTCAGGGTGATGGTCCAGCAGCACAATGGCACAGGAAAAGTTCGACGTCAAGAAACGTTCCAAATGGACATGGAAGGGGGCAATACAATCACTATGGGCTTCCAGCTCACTGCAATGAACTCATCTTCGGAACAGTACCGAGCGAGCGGCGCCTACGACACCGTGAAAGTGAAGTTTGCCCCTCAGCGGCCGCCGGACCTGTGAGCTCCTCCGCGTCGAGTACTGAAGAGTATTTTCCGGGTGCGCATGTCAATGTAGCTGACTTGTCAGAGTTTCTAAGCAGTATTCCGGGGATCCATTTGTATAACCAATGGTCCCTAGGAGCAATTTCGTCAACCTACGTGCAACGGAAGCACGGAAGTGGGGTGCTTGAAGCTTTCGAGGCTCAGAAGTTGTTCTTTGAAAGTCAGAAGGAAGGGTGGGAACACCGAGTGCTTTTCCACGAGAGGCGATGTGTGAAGCTTGTTGGCCGCCTTCCCGTGCTGGGATTTGCTTGCTAAGTGAGTAAAAGAGGCGTCAAAAAAAACAAATCTAAACCCTAAACCTTACACCCTGAACCTTAAACCCTAAACTAATAGTCGGCAGTGTTTGAGTCTTCCTGTAGCGTCCCTTGCTTCACTTGCAAGAGGCTATGAGATGCTTCAGGGTTCCTTGCCCTAAGGGTCCGAGGACCTAAATAATGGGGTCCTTTTAAAGGGTTTTATAGGGGGGGATATATAGGGATATATGGGGACTATAAAAGGGTATATGGGACCCAAATTATAGGGTTTTAGGGCCCAAATACAATGAATATTATAGTATTTGGGCCCTAAAGCCCTATTGTTTGGGTCCTCGGACCTTTAGGGTTGGTAAGTAGGTCAATAACCCCGTATAACCCGCAGAGCATCTCTGATTGTCCTAGTTATTCACCTACTTCATAGGTGCTCCTGGCCCTCCAAGTATATAATCCTAAGCCCTATAAACCCTAAACCCTCAACCCTAAAGCCCAAACCTTAAACCCTAAGCCTTAGACCCTGAACCCCAAATCTTAACCTTGAACCCTAAACCCTAAACTCTAAACCTTAAATCTTAAGCCCTAAACCTTAAACCTTAAAGCCCAAACCTTAAACCCTAAACCTTGAACCTTATACATTAAAACGTAAACCTTAAGCTCTAAAACCTAAACTTCAACCCTATTTGCTAGTTTCCCAAAATAAGGGGACCCCAATATAGACCCTAATATACTATAATCCTTATTATTGGAAACCCTAAACCCCTAAACCCTAAACCCAAAAAAAGCACCTCTAATTTTAGGAAACCTTAGTTTGGAGCCCAGGAAGCTTGGCTCCGGCGCCGGAGTGGGGTGAGTCGGCAGATCCAGGCTTCGAATGGGAACGAGCTCAGGGTTTAGGGTTTTCAGGGTTGCAGGGCTTAGGGCTTACTTGGAGGATCAGGGAGACTTAGTAAGTAGGTTAACAACCCCTATAACCCACATAGTAACCCCATTTATCCCCATTATTAACCTACTTACTAAGTCCCTCTGACCCCCCAAGTAGGGTCTAGGGGACAGGGGTTTGGACTCAGGGTTTAGGGTTCAGGGTTTAGGGTGTTTAGGTTTTGGGTAATCCCCAAAGTAGATACGACGAAGGGACCCTTTAGGTCCCTTTATAGGTTTGAAAGGATATATATGTATACACATAAATATATATATATACACATATACATATACATATAGGGCTTAGGGGCTATGGGGCTTGACAAGCTTAAGGTTGATGCGAAACATCATGCATGGCCCTGTGTACCTCATACCTTTGCTGGTCTAGGATATACCAAGGTCATGCAGGGTTTTGAGTATCAACTGTTGCGGGACACGGAGATGCGGGTGAGCTGATTGATCCCACCCTTTTGAGCCCCCCCAAAGATAGTGGTAAATCCTAAACCCTAAACCCTAAACGTTAAGTTGCCAGAGTCTTCTTCACCATTCTGGCGTTGGCCACGTAGGCCGACTCACGGGAAACGCGCGCAGCATTACGAGGTCGCTTTATCGTCTTGTGCCGCTTTGGACTTCTAAGATCACGTGGAACAACAACAGCGTAAATTGAAGGTGTCCTCGTACGAATGACTAGTGTGTTCCAAAGCGGAGAAGGTCCAAGTACCCGAATGCTGGAATTCTAGGCCCCCAATACCTTATTCTCCATGGTTTTTGATTTTGCTACGTAATAAGATTTGGGCACCTGGACCATTAGAGGGGATTGTCCGTGCAGTGTACAAGGTTTTTCCAAGAGTCTTGCACAGCCCCATGCTCATGCTCGCCGCAGGTCGACCCGCTCCCCCTGGCGTCCATCTCCTTGGGACTTGGTGGGCTCCTTGCTGGGGCGCGTGCCCGGCACTTCTCCAAGACCTGGCGTCCCTGGTTGAGGCGAGGCGTTTTGGGCGCAGGGGTGAGGGTGCCCTGCCGCGCCTTGGCCACCGAAGTGGCTCCCAAAGTGCTGGCGGACGATGCGGAGGTTCGTGCTCCTCCTGGAGACCCGCGCCAGTACCGCGTGCTGCAACTGGACAATGGTTTGCAGGTTTTGTTGGCCTCGGACCCCAGCGCAAGCACCGCCGCTGCTGCCTTAACTGTTCGCTGTGGTACGTTTCAGGATTCATGGGTTTCAGGGTTGTATTTTTAGGGCTACTAGTTAAAGAACCCTAGGGGACTACATTGGTTCACACAAGGTTTACATGAGCTATAGTCTAAAGTCCTAGTGTCCCCCTCAAGAAGCCCTATAGTGGTCTCCTAAACCATCCCCTATATAACCCTCTTTAAGGAGTTTAGACTACAGCTCATATGGGGATCCTACATAACATATTTACTGGGTTGCTGTTAAGGAACTTTTTTTAAGTTACTATATTGGGGAAACCGTTTTAATTACTATTTATACCCATTATGGTAAATCAGATTCTATAAACCCTTAATACCCGAAATACCCTACATATGTATACATAACCAGTACGGTACCTTAATTTAGGTGCCTGAACAGCAGCCCTAAACCCAAAACCCCAGTATATTCCCCTTGGAGGATCCCAAAGACCGCCTGGGCCTGGCCCATTTCCACGAGCACATGCTGTTCTTGGGCACGGAGAAGCTAGGAAGCCCTGTGGTATCTTTTTTTGTTGTTGAACATTTTGGTTTAGGGTTTTGGGTACCGTGTACGGTAATCAAATGCAAGAGAATATTGGTAATGAAATGGAAGCTGGGTTTATGTAGAGGTTTCGAAGGAATATCGAATACCGGTACTGGGCTACCAAGGAAATTTCCCAAGGAGGACGAGTACAGCAAGTACTTGAGTGAGCATGGTGGTGACAGCAATGCCTTCACAATGTCAGAGTACACCACGTACTACTTCAAGGCAGCTCTAGCAACGTGTACTAGCCCCTGAGGGTTTAGGGTTTAGGGCTGCGCCTCCAGCCCTGGACCAAATTCCTAAACCCTAAACCCTAAAGCCTTCTGGTGCATTCAGGTGGCTTCGCCCTTCCTGGGTGAGGCACTCGACCGCTTCTCCCAGTTTTTCATCAGCCCGACCTTTGACCCATCTGGCATTGAGCGGGAGATGAAGGCTGCGAGATGTGTTGGTGTTGAATCATGTGCTGTTGTACAGCAATATGCTGAACTATACCACCCGCACCACAAGCTCGGCATCACGCATTCTGAACTCGCAGTTCCTGTTGCATGAACGTCTGAAGAGTGAACGGACACCCTGCGCAGACTTGGGTTTGTGGCTAGCGCGGCCTAACCCTAAACCCTAAACCCTAAACCGTGTGGATTTCAGGCAGTGGACTCCGAGAGCACCAACTACTCCACGGAGGACGGTTGGCGATTGCTCCAGGCATGCTATGCCTCAAATATAGGGGGTATATAGGGATAATGGAAAAGAAAATGGAAGCTACCGTTTAGGGTTTGGAGGTTTCCTAAAACTAGGGGTACCATTTTGGGGGTCCCCATAATCAGGCCTCTGGTATTTTGGGGTCTGGTGCCCATACAGAATAGCTATGAGTAGCTTTGAGTTAGCTTACCATTTGCAATACTGCGCAGAAATGCCTCAACATTTGGGTCTTCATGAAGCTGCTGGCACAGGACGTATAGCGCGCTCTAAGTTTATAAATAGCGCCTACGTTGGGCCCTAAAGTCTACAAGCAGTACTTACACTGGGCCATCGGCTTTGGGGTACGAGAGATCTATTTCAGCAGTAATTGAAGCCCATCCCACGCACTAAAAGCCGGGTTTAGGGTTATTCGCCTGGCAGGTTTTAAAGGCCACTGCCGCCGAGGAGCACCCCTTTTTCAGTGGCGTCGGTTGCATCAAGTTGCATCTAATACAGAGGCCTAGATTTCCAATATTTTGGTCCTGGGCTCCTTGTCTAGTATGGTATGTGGTACGTCAAGTAGAACTCAAAGTTTTATTGGCCATTATTTAGGCCCCTATACCCTACATGACCCCCCTAACACCCTCTGGAAAATACAGTTGCCATTCCATACTTCATGCACTTTTCCATGTGATTCTTCAGCTCCTGTCCTAAACTTTAAACAATGTTTCGCAGCCCAGGAACCCGGAATGAGGTTTAGAGTTTAGGCCCCCGCAGTAGCTTGTTCGTTTTCTGGGTTCCTGGTGCGGAGGGCCGAGAAAAAAGATTTGCTTTGGGAACTGAAGTTGCAGAAAATGTGAGTTGGTATCGTGGTCTCCTTGGAGTATTGATCTGAAACTACTATTCGTAATAGGCTAGTGTACTTGAAAGCACACTATATTAGAAGTCTTCTAGTTGTTGGCAATGTAGCGTATTAGAGATTGGTTGCTACGATCTTGGAAAACTCCCCTGGCTTGGGAGTCTGTACTACAGACCACTTTGCTTTTGCTAGAATGCACGACATCCCCTAAACCCCAAACCTTAACCCTAAACCCTAAACCCTGAAACCTAAACCCTAATCCCTAAACCCCAAACCCTAAACCCTTAAACTATGCAGAAAGCTTCCAGACTTGGATTGACCATCATTGCAGATCCGCTCATGCAATCGGTGACAGTTCATGCAGACCATCCCCTTGTCTGATATCCATGCTTACTGGTATTTCTAGGGTTGATCTGCTCTGTCTAAAAGGAGTACATGGCACGATATATATTGGGGCTTGAGGTCAACTGTCAGTCATGCTAATTAGGGTTTAGGGTTCAGGGTTCAAGGTTTAGGGTTTACGGTTCAGGGTTTAGGGCTTGGGTTTTTTGGGTTTAGGGTTTAGGGCTCAGGCTTCAGGGCCTGAACCAGGTTTTGATGTCGGCAACCTGGATACCCTGGGGGCCGATGATTTGGACGGCACCAGGAAGCAGCTGCTGGCTTGCTGTTCAGGATCTTAATTTGAAGGTTACCATAATGTATGAGCTATGGCTTCACTCCTTAAAGGGGCTTCTATAGGGAAGTATGTAGGGCCTGGAGGGGAGTATTATGGGGGCCACTGAGGGGGATACTAGTAGCACAGACTATGGCTCATGTTACCGGTATGTAGTCTTTAGTTCCTTGAACCCTAAACCCTAAACCCTACTTTTTGTAATTTACAGAAAGTTCCTGAACAGCACACCTAGGCTGGTAGAGTGGAACAAGACCCACTACCAAGCAGGCCAGGTGCTACATGTACCATTTGGGTTTAGGGTTTAGGTGTTTAGGGTTAATGGGTTTAGGGTTTTAGGGTGTAGGGTTTTAGGGTTTAAGGTTCAGGGTATTCGGGTTTTAGGATTTAGGGTTTGGGGTTTTAGGGTTTAAGTTTCAGGGTTTCGGGTTTATAGGTTGATTCCAAAATTGTACTAGAGTCATTAACCAAAAGGGGCCCATAATTTCGACAACAACCCACATTTTAGAGGGTGTGGGGTTGATATATTACTTAGCCAACGTCAGTGACTTCCATTGCGCCTGCCACCACCCAGACCCTCTAAAGGATTCCCAAAAAATTGGGCCCCCCACCCCCAATATGAACCCATGACTGGGGAACCCTTTAGAGGGGTTTATAGGGGTCTATATAGGGGTATATAGGGTTTAGGGATTAGGGTTTAGGATCCAAAAAATGGAACCCCCCAAATATGAACCCATTACTACATGGGGGAAACTAGGGAATTATTCGGGGGTTCCATCTTTGGATCCTTCACGTATAGGGGGTCTGGGTATGTCATGGTTCTTCTGGCCCTCTCAGTTACAGCGGCGTAGGGTTCGACCAGCTTGTGATACCTCCAGCGGTTCAGGGCTTAGAGCTTGAAATGTAAAAGAAGACTGTGTACCAACCTAGATCGGCAAGTCTCACCAAAATTCGTTTACATGTTGGATCATGGCATGGGAAATGCTGTATGTATAGTCCCCCTTAAGTAGGTAGGAATATGGAATTGCCCAATATCATAGTGAGATCCCCATCCACCCCATATTAAACCCTAAACCCTAAATCAGCTATCTACTTGAGGGTGACTCTAGTCCTTCCCGTCCTGTCCCTTCACCACAACTCTCTGAAGGCGCCATGAAACTTGTAATGGTTGGCAGCGACAGCCTTGACGACTTGCAGCTCCCTGGACGCACCAGGAGCTTCGTGGAGTTAGGGCTTAGGGTGTAGAGTGTAGGGTTTAGGGAGGTGCTCCAAATAGCCCAGAGTAACTAAACAGGAACCACTTGCAGGCTGCAGGGCCCCATTTTACCGACTTGGAGCCCAATGCCTTAAGTGTTGGCAGAAGCCGTTGGTTTGGCACTCTGGCCTGAAGCCCAAAGGGTCCGTGTAGCTATATAGTATATGCTTTGGTCCTAAAGTGATTACATAGGAACCCCTTCGGGCCCCCAAGTACGTACTACATAGCTACATGGACCCTTTGGGAAGGGTTTTAGTCATCTTGTCCCTTTATCCTGCAGAACCGAGGCCGGCCTCTATGGCCCATAGCGACAGCATCCCAACATGGAAGTAGAAGACCGGGTGCAAGGAAAGGTGTGCATGAGCCGGCATCATCTTCAAGAGTATTTGACAGACCCGAATAGATAGCAACCGCGATCAGAAGGCATCATTGTTTCTGCTTGGGCGGCTCAGGAGTGTATCGTCAGCGTGCCTTGAGCGGAAGCGGTAGATTACCTGACCTACCATATACACCAATAACAAGCCCTACATGACCTTCATAATTCAGGGATGATGGAACTCCTACCGAAGTCCTTTTCTGAGGGCCCTCGCTACGGAGAAGTTCGGCGATGTGCCCTCGGGAGGTGGCAGAGAGTTGACATATGCTGTCAAGCCGTGGCCAACATCTCAGGCTTCCCGGAGATATCTAACGGGTATAGGGTTTCGGGTTAAGGTTGTAAGGGCCCGGCCTTAGTTATCCAAATAATTTAACCCAATGCAGGTAAGACTGAGGGGTTTCAGGATGTAGCTTTTTAGGGTGTTTAGGGTCTAAGGTTAAGGTTTCGGGGCTTAGGGTTCAGGGTTTAGGGCTGTTGTTTGTGGAGGAAGAAGAAGTGCGTAAGGGTCTCTAGGGAGATGTCCCTAAATGAGATACATTCTTGCCTCCTTGAAGGGATTATTATAGGTGATTCTACATGGGACTACTATAGGGCTATTAAGGGGGATACTAGGAGTTTAGACCAGAGCTCAAATGAGAAATGAGAAAGTCCTGCAGAAAGTTAGCCAACGGATCCCTCTTCCCGTAGGAAGAGCCACTCGGAAGCCTTCCTGAGAGGGTTCAGGGTTTAGGGTCGCCCTTAAGTAGATAGAATAGGGCTTTGGGTATATTATAATAAGATCCCGATATACCCCACATTCTATCTACTTAAGGGGGACTTCCGATGCCTTCCTGAGAGGTTCTGGGTTTACCTAGACCCTCCAATGTAGTTCCTTTTTGGGTTTGGTATGGTTTTTTGGTTAGGGTTCTTATTAGGACTACCAAAAAGGTACTACATTGGAGGGTCTAGGTAGGGTCTAGGATGATTTTTTAGGGTTTAGGGTTTAGGGTGAAGCAATGACATTTCCGAAGTAGCTCCCTTCCGAATACTGCATAAAAGCAAAGAGCTGACATATGTTGGAATTTCATTCACCCACACCTCCTAAATCCTGAACCTCCAAAACCCAAACCCTGTATGAGCTACTGTCTAAACTCCTAGTATCCCCTTAATAACCCCTGTAGTAGTCCCCTATATAATCCTCTATATAACCCAATCTAACGAGTTTCCTTTAACGAGTTTAGACTATAGCTCATATAGAACACACCCCGCTTTTGATATGAACCATTTTATCTTGGCAGGTTGGTCGCATTGTCAAGTGCGTCCCACTCAAGGCCACCCAGCTGCCTTGTTCTGTTGATGTTTAGGGTTTAGGGGTAGGGTTGCAGGAACCTGCCCAAACTGCAGAAACCAGCATGGGTTTGGCGGCCAACTCTTTCAAATTTGGAATTCTGTAGAGAAATCACAGGAGTGGATGGGCCCAGGGCCAGAAGAGCTCCTACTCTCGCTTTAGGGGAAAGCTGACGTTAGACCTTTTTTGGGTGGCTTGTCTAGGTCACACATGGGTAGTTCCCAAAATTAGTGTCCCATTGTGGTACCCCTAAATAGTAGGTGCCGTAATATCATTTGTGACCACAGGGGGCCCATAATTTTGAAAACAACCCATGCCTCCAGGACTCTCGCGCAATCTCAGCCTATTGGCCTCTCCCGCCGGTTCAGAAGTACTTGCATCTTGGCTCGTTTAGGATTTAGGGTTTGGGGCTTAGGGGATCCGAGTGCTAGAGCCACTGATGGTTTGAAGGATTCCGTATTTGTCTGGGTCGCGGTTAAGGAGGTTAAACTACTATAATGAGGCAACCGTATTGTTGATTATATGCTCACAATATGCTAATTCAAATTAAGTTCCTTAGCAGTATTTGGTGTGGGCTGCATTGTGCCCCAGCCTCTTGACCCAGGTTCGCCAAGCCAGAGTTGTACTTGGCACACTTGCTGGGCCACGAGGGTGCTGGATCCCTCCATGATGCACTCAACCAGTGGCTGAGATAAATTTGGGTTTAGGGTTTTGGGTTTGGGGTTTAGGGTTTAGGGGTTTAGGGTTTAGGATTTAGGGTTTAGGCTTTTCCATGAGCGGCTTCTGTCTAAGGACTTTAGGGGCCCTATAGGGGTTATATAATGACTATATGAGGGTTATATATGATCATGGGATTAAGGGTCCCTATTAGGGGTCGGGTCCCTCCTAAAGTCCCTAGATTCTGTACTCTTTCCCAGAATTTCTGGATGGGCTCTAGCTGTGAGGTTAATGTTAGGGTTTGAGGTTAGGGTGTAGGGTGGGCTCTGTTGAAGCAATCTGAATAGACTCCAAGGAACCAGCTAGGATGACAAAGTGGCATTATGGCTGGATGTCAGGGTTCTCCAGGGTAGGTAGGTGGCACTCATACTAATAGAAGTTGAATCGCCTGCATTCCTTTGCATTCTGCTTCAAACCCCGAAACCCTAAACTAAAACCCTACATCCTAAACCCTAAAACCTTGAAGCCCTAAACCCTAAAACCCTGAACCCTAAAACCCAAAATCCTAAAACCCTACAGCCCTGAACCCCTGAAGGTTTGGCTGGGTCGACCAGCTGTCTTCTGGCACCGCGCAATCGCTACTCGCATGTGAGCTACTGCTAAGATGAGCCTCATTAAGGGACTCAAGGTTTAGGGATTTAGGGTTTATATAGGATTTAGGGTTCTAGGGTTTAGGCTACTGTCAAGATTATTTGCCGTATAGTCCCTAACATAGTTCCTAATAGGAACCTATTAGGAACCCATATCCATGAATTTTCTGGGGAAATATTGGCGCCCTAATCCCCAAACTCTAAATCCTAATCCCTAAATCCTAAACCCTAGGCCCTAAACCCTAAACCTTCCCTAGTAAGCTCATGTCTAGCTTGCCAATGCTTGGTCTGGGAGCAGGGCTTGTGATCCTGTGAGCTCCGCCGAACATACCCCAAGGGGCCCAGGACAGGAGGAGAGTAGAGATAGGGTTTAGGGTTTAGTGTTTAGGGTTTAGGGTTTAGGATCTAGAGCTTAGGGTTTGGGTTTTAGGGTTTAAAGATCAGCCTAACTTGGCTGCTCCAAGCATCACCCGTGCCTCATTAGCGGCATGGGTTGCCATGCGGCTCTGGGTCACCTTGATTCGTGACAGTCCTTGGCAGACCTACAAGAAACCTTGTGTGGATAGTTTCAGAAGGCCTCAGGACCCCGCAGTTTCTACATCCTATGAAAATAGACACAGAATCGAGTGCACCTGATCTGAGATTCACGGATGAGCAGCTCTTCGCAATCAACATCACGCTCACGCCTGAGGCATTTTCCTTTGGGAGCTTGAAGTCATTCAAGCTTTGAATCTATTTGAGGAGTCTTTCAGCACTGCAACTCTCTTCCTTAGCCGCCCTCCCTGTAAGCAGAATATTCAGGGGACCATAGACGCAAATGGTGTCGGCTGTGCGGATCTTTTGGGCGACTGTTCTCACCCTAAAACTCATGTGGTCTGGGATTCTTCAGTCATGAACTGCCAAACTGCGCTACAAATCCTGACCTCCATCCTCAGCCATGCAGCCCTACAGATGGAAAGCCTGAAGCCACATAATCCTGCACCAAAGGCGCGTAACCAGAAATCACCACGAGCTCTTCGGTTAAGGGTTTAGGGTGTACCTGGACCCCAAAAGTAGGTAAAATAATAGCGCAAAACCCCTTAAAAACAGCCCAAAGGGCTACTATTCTGCATACTTTTGGGGTTCAGGTAGGTTTGGGAACCTCTCAGATCCTGTTCGACAGGGCGACGCACACCGGGACGAAGTCTTGGCTCTGCTTTTCGAGTGACCCAATCTATTAAAGGTAGCTATATGAGCCATATAGTCATAGTCTAAACTCCTTAAAGGGTTATATAAGGGATTATATAGGGGACTACTATAGGGGTTATTATGGGGGGATACTAGGAGTTTAGACTACAGCTCATCTACTTCGACTTTGATGTGTTTCGGGATCGATGGTTGTTCAGCTTTGCATTGAGTGGTTCACGGTCAATACGGTTGGAGGGCAGGTATGAGGGTAAGCGCTTGGAGTTTGGGCGAGAGTGAGATGGATTGATAGTACTTGCATAATTGGGGCTCGCAAACCTTCTTAGCACTCATCAAGGGCACTGCACTGGAGCAGCCTGCGTCGCGGGCAAGAACACGAATGTATGTGGGATCTCCAAACATTAGGGGTCCTTTTTGCAGGGGCTGGGTATATTTGGTGCTACTTTTGGAGAAAAATCACAGGGAAACTCCCACATGCTTCCTGGCATCATGAAGCACGAAAGCACCTATTGCCTAGCCTTAGTCTATGATTTCATTCTCCCAGAACCCTTGGCCAGAAAAAAGTCACGAGGTACGTGGAGAAGATTCGTTCGGCCGGGCCCAAGGAGGATAGGTTTTTCACAGGGTTATATAGGGGATAATGGAAAATAACATGGAAACTGCTATAATATATAGGGATTATAGTAGGGGGTATATTGGGGTTAGATTGGAGATCATGGAAAAGAAAAAGCAAGCTACTACCCCGTTCCTCACCACTTAGGGTTTAGGTTGGGCTTTAGGATTCAGGGTTAGGCTTCACAGGGGTGTTTAGGATTACAGGTACAGGGGTATTTCAGACCGCGAGGTAAGAAACAAGTCGTGAATGTTGTAAACCTAGACTCCTATAGACTTGGTGGTAGGTTCTGGTCCTCTAAGTGCACGCGCGCTATGAGGGGCCAAATATCCCCAAATACCAGGAGGGTCTTGGTACATACGACTTTCAGAGCAAGAAGTCCAAGAAAGCAACCATTGCAATCTAGCAAGCTTCAAGCCCTAAACCCTAAACCGCGTAGGGTTTTTGGAGCTCAGGGTCTCTTCTGCAATATCGACTGGAAGTTTCGCAACAGTACATAGAATCCTATATTATCGTGACCCCTACAATCCATAATGCTCTTCCAATCGTGTCCTTAAGTCAGGGTCCCCTATTTAGAGAAGCTTCCCAGTGCGTTCTTGTGGGATGCCGGTGGAAAAGGCCGTACCCTGGACTTAGTAATAACGGAAAAGAAAATGGAAACTACTATAGGCTTTAGGGTTAAGGCACCTAGCAGTGCGAAATTCTTTGACAATGAATTGCTTTGACAATCAGATGGCCAGGGGCACCTACATGAAGTCAAAGTCTATGACCGTGAACAATCATAGTGATAGGAAGAGTAGCTGTAGCGCTGAGGCTCCGCATAGCCCGATGTAGGTAATGATTTTAAACTTGTTGGGGCAGATCGGTGTAGGAATTATTTGTAGACTCAGAGCCCCTAGGGTACTATTGACGGTATTAGTAACCTTAAGCCCTGTAAACCCGAAACCCTGCCTAAACCTAAACTCGAAAACCTAGACCCCAGACCCCAGACCCCAAACCCTAAACTCTGAATCATAAGCCCCAAACGCCCCAAGCTCTAAACCCTAAAGCCTAGACCCTAAACCCATAGTAACCGTAACTAGAAGCACTTTATGTCTCTGAGGTCTGGATGGTCCTTGTTTAAGGCTTCCTTACCAGAGTCTTGGGCTTAGGCTCTGGGGTTTAGAGTTGAGGCTTTAGGCTTTGGGAGTTTCACGTTCAGAGTTTAGGATGTAGGCTTTTGGGTTTAGGATTTAGAGTTTAGGCTTCGGGGTTTAAGGTTTAGACTTGAGGGTTAAGCTTTGGGATTTTTGTTTTGCTTCGGGGCTCATGGCACTTGGGAGGTCCGAGCAGTCGCACCGAGATATTCACGGTTCTCACAAAAGCTTTTTGATGTTGGTAATCTATGACCGCAAGTCCCGGCATGACAACAGATTTTGCCAATTTGGATTGAACTTGTTGGGCCCCATGTGCCCAAAGATAAAACGACCCCCGCCACAAGGTACCAAAAAGGGATTCCTCTTTTTCCAGTGCTAGATGTGCTTGAAGGAGATCTTCAAGGAGCTAGCCTCTCTTCAAGAAATCGGTTTTGCACACAAGGAGGACGGGTACATGCTAGTGATTCTTGTTTTCAGGGTGCTAGGTTGTGGAAATAATGAGGCATCCTTTCCGTTCTTCTCAATGCCACAGTCCCCATAGCCCCAGTAGCGTATGTTCCAGCGATTCCAGTGATTGAGTCATGGAGGCCCCTAGGAGATTCCTGCAGAGCTGTATGGCAGCCTATATCAACTATAGCTTAAACTCCATAAAAAGGGGCTTCTATAGGGTATCAAATCGGAGAGTAATGTAGGGGTTATTAAGGGGGATACTAGGAGTTTTGACAGTAGCCTAAGTAATTATTTATACAACCTCTACTCTATGCAGGACTAGGCATTGTATCCTGCCCCTGCGAAATTGGAGTTTCTCGTTACCTATTATTGTGAAAGGCTGCTCCTGAAAGCCACTTGCCGCAGCATGCTTCGAGAGCGCTTTGGCGCTTTGTGCAACCCTGACATATGACATCTGCCTTCCTACCTGCAGTCCCCGTACAAGCATTGGAGCTACCATAGTTATGCCGAGTTGTCAATACCCCAGCTTAACACGCATGAATTGCGAAGGGAAATCTCCGTTGGTGATGCTCGGCCTGTCAAATTCGTTGCTATATGTATCTATACATATATATATATACAGATATATACATATATATACATACACACAATTGCATGGGGTTATATACAGTACGTAATACCCTCGCTCCAGAGGATTATGTTATGTTCTGTGCGCTGCGAAGTGCAAGATTCGGAGTTCTATTTGCAGAGCCGATAAGAGGAGAAAGGAACAACAGCAAAACGATAAGGTCCAACATTTGGAGACATGACACAAAAACATAGCACGATAAAATCATTCCGGGTTCAGCAAAAAGGAACGAGGTCTTTATACAATCTTTATTGACATGCAGCTCTCTCCGTATATCCAAATACTGCGTTGCTGAAATGTCGTGTCCTACGTTCCTATAACTTGTGCTTGCTCTGGCTGTCCCTTTTTCCTCCGAGAACTATATTAACATATAACCCAAGGCCCTAAGTATCCCCCTGAATAACCCTCATAGTAGTCCCCTACATAATCCCATATATAGCCTGCTCTAATGAAATCAGCCCTTCATTAAGTAGGACTACCCGCTGCCCGACGACTTTGCGGCTACGGCGGCCATGGCGTTGCACAGGCGGGTCCTACTGCATGCACGGGGGATATACTTGGGTATATATATATATGTATATATATAGATAGGTAGATAGATAGACATGACCCATAGTCTAAACGCCTTAAAGGGGTTATATAGGGAATGATACAGGGAGCACTAGAGGTGTTATTAAGGGGGATAGTAGGACAGAACATAGGGCTTTTAATAGGGGTATGTAGGCTGTGCTCTCCCCCAAATTAACATGAACCCCCTGAAAGGGACTCATGTTTTTCAAAGGGAGCCAACCCGAAATAGTAGTTTCCATTTTCTTTTCCATTATCCCCATATTATCCCAATATAACCCATACCCCAATATAACCCCAATATCCCCTAAACCCTAAACCCTATGGTTTTGGGGAGGCTATGGTGAGTTGGAAGAAACTTGCACGAAGGATGGTGCAGCTGTATGGAATAGCATGTTCCTTAGGACTGTTGGTGAGTGTACATGTAGGGGTTTAGGGTTTAGGGTTTGGTGAGTGTACATGTAAGGGTGCTCATTTTGTAGAGACCATAACTTACAAACACAGGCCACGGAACGCACGGAATTTGGGCACTGATCAGGGAGGAAAGGCTTCCGCACTGGTCATAGATCACTTATCATTAGTATATCGGGGTTATATTGGGGGTCATGGAAGAGAAAATGGAAACTATTATAGTAACCAGTATAATGGGGTTATATAAAGGGGATAATGGAAAAGATAATGGAAACTATTGTAGTGTATTGGGGTTATATAACGGGGATAATGGAAAAGAAAATGGAAACTATTATAGTACCTTGGTATATGTATATATATATATTGGGAATAGTGGAAAAGAAAATGGAAGCTATTATAGTATAGTGGGGTATACATAATGGGGATGATGGAAAAGACAATGGAAACTATTATAGTATATTGGGGTTATATGAATGGGATACTGGAAAAGAGAATGGAAACTATTGTAGTGTATTGGGGTTATATAATGGGGATGATGGAAAAGAAGCTGGAAACCATTGTAGTATATTGGGGTTATATAATGAGGATAATGGAAAAGAAAATGGAAATAGATGCCAGGCTTGACCGAAGCCGGAACATTTCGTTCTCCTTGACGGGGTGCTATCCTTCAGCATGTGCTTTTTGTGGACAGGTATCCTCCTAACGATGTGCTGCGTGGACCCTTCGCCTTGGATGAGTGGCGCGCTGATGTTGTAGCAGACTACTTGCTGCTTGGACATGCAGCAGCAGTTTTGCTTGGCGCAGACATCTTTGAATGGTGGTGATTGATTCCACTTTGGATGGTATGTCTATTCCTGGTGTAATTCATTCACAGTAGCAGATGGCCTTGTGAAAATGCAAGGTCAACCCTGACGCCAGAGAACTGCCTGATCATGATGACCAGCGAAAGCTTCAGAGAGGAAAGCTCTGCGGAGGGCGCCAGCGAGCAGGCATCTGAGGGTCCTAAAGTTGTCCTGACATAGACCAACCTCGCAGGCTGTATAGGGTTTAGGGTTTTGGGGTTAGGGTTTAGGGTACTATAATCATAATGGTGACAACACATCATGGGTATGATTTACAATAGTAATGGCACTGGGAGAAGTAATCACAATCATGAGCAGATGTAAAACCCCCAAACCCCTAAGTATAGTATAGTAGTTCCCATTTTATTTTCCATCTTCCCACTATAACCCCAATATAACCCCTTTATAACCCGAAGCCCTAAACATTATAACGACAACAAGATATCAACCTATCGAGCCCGGCAGGGATGGAAGCCGGAGGAGTGGTACAAGGCCTACTACAAGGAGGAACCCCTTGACAAGGATCACTTGGACCAATAACAGCTTTTTTGTGGTGCTTCAATTTGGGTTTGGCTTGATTTTTGTTGTGTTCTAGAACTGTTCAGAGGTAGGTTCGAAAATATTCTGAATTTTTGTGACCCTGGCCTTAAACACCATGTAATCCTTCAAAACCAATCATCAGTAGTCTTACAGGGCTCGCAAACCTATTTGAGCTACAGTCTAAGGTCCTAGTATCCCCCTAGTAACCTTCAGAAGGCTCCCCTATATAATCTCCTTTGAGGAGTTTTGGCTGTAGCTCATTTGTTTGGAGTGACCCTTGAAAAGGATCACTTGGACCAGTGGCGGCAGAAGCTGCAGGACGCTCTACAGGGCCATCCTTCCGGCCTTAAGCTACTGGGTTGGTGTTAACGGGTTTTAGATGTTTTTGGGGGTTAGGGCGTTTAGGGTTTAGGGGTGTAGGGTTTAGGGGTTTGGGGAGTTTCGGGTTTAGGGTTTTCAGGGGTTGGGTTTAGGGTCTTTAGGGTCCAGGGTTATATGTTAAGGGTTTAGGGCAGTTGGCCTAAATAGGGGAGAGACTATGTGGGGTTATATGTCGGAACTGATAAGGGAATTGAAGCTAATTTTTAGGGCTTGGGGTCCAGGGGCAAGTTACCCGAATGGAGAATCAAATGGAAGAGCGAATGGAAACGAACATGGAAACTTGGGTGTTTTTGTTTGAGGATCCTGCGGGATTCAAATTAAGGTGCCTACATGTATTAGGTGTGGAGCCATTTTCCGGTAGCTCCTCAAACCCTAAGCCCTGTTCCTGCACAACAATCCAGGCTACCAGAGCCCAACCGTTTCATTCCCAGCGACTTCTCCCTGCGCGCCACGGATGGTGAGGGCCTGGAGGTCACCAAGCTTCCTATGGAGGTGCTTCCGCCAACACCCTTGGTGAACACTGACATGCTCCGACTGTGGCACAAGGTGGGGAGGGATCCTATTACCATAGAAGGAGACCGTTGATGCTAAGAATCCTGCATGACTTTAGCATTTTATTGTGCCATAATTCGCAAGGGGTGAGGTATTTAGGGTCATGTAGATGCAACAGTACCACCAGTATCAAACATACGTCTCGAAGTTGAGATCGCTTTTTGGGATCCCCGTGGAAGCATCACCAGGGGCTACATTTTGAGACTGAGACAACTTGTTTGCAGGTGGACAAGGCTTTCAAGACTCCACGGGAGTACGTCCTGGCACATGTCCACACCGGCGCCTATGACGCAGGCCCGGAGGTTGTGGCCATGATGCGATTGCTTCCTGCCTGCTATGGATCTTTGCCAGATGGACGGTGTGTTTTTGGGGGAGATTCATGTAACTAACCCTAATCCCGCAACCTTCAACCAACTTGTAGGTGCCGTGGAGGTAGGCTGATTTGTTGGAGCGCCCTGTTAATTAGAAGCACATCATGAAGAGGATCCGGGCGGATTAGCTGCTCCTCACGAAATACATGACACAGCAGCTGTTTTCAGATGCCATACATATTCGTTCGTCGCAGCACGACGCCTTAGTCCAGCCGTGGGTGTTGCGAACTAAGGTTCTGCGGTGTGGTCAGCGATGACCTTAACACCTTCTCGTACGACGCCAGTGTGGCTGGCTTGGGCTACAACTTGGAGTTTGCGGCATCTCGGTTTCTGATTACGATTTTGAGCTGCTTCCAATCTGAGGGCAATGTAGGGTAGAAAGTCCCTCTCTCCCCCCACGGCAAGGGGTTGCCCAAATTTTTGCTCCCATCTGAAGGTTTCCTGAATGTGGTGTACTGTTGGAACTCCCAGGGGCCAGCGATGGGTGCCTGTTAGGCCTTGTTGGGCAAGAATAAGATCGGGCTCATGTAGAAGAAGCCGCATTTGAGGACAATCTGACCATGTCTGTGGGCGGCTTCAACGACAAACTCCCTGATCTTCTCAAGGCCCTTGCAGCTGTGGGATGTACGGTTGCGGATCCAACATCCGGTAGAATCCCCAGCATATCATACCATCACACTTTCAGAGTCTCAGCAGACCGGGTCATGCAGGTTTGGCTTATCAGCCATCATACGGTTGACAGGACACGAATGGAAACAAATGGGGGTTTCCCTAAATCAGGGATACCATTTTGGGGGTTCCCATAACAAGGATTATAGAATATTGGGGTCTACATTAGGGTCCCCTTATTTTGGAAAAGTACCAAATTTCAGAGCTTGCTAATGCTTGAGTGTTCATGGCTGTGGTCCAATGCCCCCTGCATTTTCGTACCGACAAAGCAGCCCAGAGACCCTCACTGAATATTGTCCGAATCGGCTCCAGCTGCCCTAAACCCTGAACACCGACTCCTAAATCTGCAACCCTGAACCCTAAATGAACCCAAATTCCCAAACCCTAAATCCCTAAACCCTAAATCCCTAAACCCTAAATCCCCAAACCCCACATCCCTAAACCCCACATCCCTAAACCCTAAATCCCTAAACCCTAAATCCCTAAACCCTCAAACCGCCTTCAGCCTTCGGGCTGCTTGCGTCAGGTGGTCGTGGAGCGCGTGGCCACCCTCCTGGACGAGTTCGAGACCGCGGCAGAGGCCAGTCCTTTATGGTCTTCCTAGGGTTTAGGATGTAGGGCTCCCGGACGAGGGTTTAGGGTTCAGGGTTTAGGGTGTAGGGGTTTAGGGTTTAAGGGTAAGGGTTTAGGGGGTTCAGAGTTTAGGGTTCAGGTTTTAGGGTTTAGGGGTAGGGATTAGGGTTTTGGGTGCCGTCCGCATTCCCCCCCCCCATTAAGTTAAGACCCCCCGCCCGCCCCCTAATTGTTTACGAAAAAAAGGCAATGCTTAATATCCGAGGGGAGTGGGTGGGGGGCTTCTACACTAGGGGAGGGGATTGCCGCTAGTCAGGAGGCCCAAATTGTGGGATATACATCACGCGGGTCCTGTCCATCAACCGTCGGACTCCACAGGCAAACACTTTACGGATCTTCAAGTTGTAGGCATCCTTTCCGCGCACGAGAGCTGTGATGTTCGCGCCTAAGACTTTGAAAGGGTTTAGGTAAATAATTGCCAACTTTGTGGTCCTAGATTCCTTTCATAGCTATCGCAGAGGGTGTCTCAAATAGACCTCAACATCGTACTAGGCCCCTACAGTGCTTGTTGTTTTTTGTTTTTTTCTCCAGGCAAGCCTGAGAAGTTTCATGGCTGGCACATCTTTGAAAGTTGCAGTAACACACTGGCAGGCTCAGCACGCCCCAAGTCATAAGGAGGAGGGAACCTGATTGAAAGATTTGTGTAAATATCTAGGGGGGGCCAAACTAGACCCCCCAAATGCTAGAATAGCTGCTAGAATCCATATGAGGGGACTGCCAAGATAGACCCTCCAAAAATGCTAACAATCCTAATGGACCCCGAGATAGGCACCCAACAATTCTAGAATTTTAGGGGGCCCCGAGCTTTTTGAAATAGAATTCCCATCCCTTGGTAGCTCCAAGACACACGCTCTCTCGGGAACCCCAGTTGGGAATTTGGTGTCGGATTTAGGGCTTAGGGTTTAGGGGGTTTAGGGTTTAGAGTTTTGGATAAGCTCCCAGAGGCTGTGAAAGGCGCGACGACGGAGGAGGAGCTTCTCACAGCGTTGGGGGACCGCGGTCAGGACCGGCCTTTGTTGAATTGGATGGAATATGGGATAATGAGGTGATAAGGGCTTAGGGTTTAGGGGAATATAGCGGGGGTTAAGGGGTTTAGTAACTTTAGGGTTTCTGGAGAAAGAAGCATCGTCTTGCTCCACACATGTGCGAAGGTGCCAACAAGATGTCAAGAATCCTCTGGAGACATACTTGAACGGAGCCTTACAGGTATGCTGCTTACTGTGTTCGTTACACTAGCATGGCTGTGATGAGTACTTCAGGAGTTGCTGGAAAAGCTCGAGGTTCAGCGACAAATCCTCCTGCAGGATTACAAGAACTTCACGCGAGAGGCTGGCCGTTCAGCAAAACACAAAACTGGGAGAGTCTATGGCTCACTGACTGGGCCGAGAGGCGGTAACTTCAGGACTTTTATGAGCATGTAGGGAGTCAGTTTGAATCAAAAGTGATGGGCCTCAAGGTGTTTGCTTAGATTCCGGGTAACACTTCTTGGGAGTCTATGTTTCAGCTGGATCCTTCACCCATGTTACTGGGTGCCGAGCTTTCATGATGACCTTACACTACCAGAACGGTGTATCAGACGGGCAGCCCTGCAGAGCAATCCAGAATTGTGAGCGGGTCGCCTTTCGAGGGGTTGGGGGATGTGACTGGGCAGGACCCATGGTCTGTTGGCAACTACTACCTCTCGCAGCTGATGCTGCGCAAGTCCTGGCATCTGTCGGAGTACATTGAGGTGCCCTAGGGATTTAGGGCAATCAGCATGGGATTTTGTGGCTCTGAAAAGGTCAGTAATTCCATTTTGATAGATTCACATGCAGAGCTTGCAGGGGCTTTGGACGCGCTCTTAGACATAGATGTCTGCATCAGGAAGTGCATGAACAGATGCCGCTGCATGTCATTACCCAAATGGTCCATGAGGTATATAGTATATGCTGGGCCCGAAGGGCTATGTAGCTACGTGGACCCTCTGGGTGGCAGCCAGGTCCTGGAAAGGGGGCCTGATCTCGCTGCCACGGCAGCGGCCGTCCGTGTTGCCTTCAGCCATGTTCAGGTGGGGCTTAGGGTTGGGGGTGTGGGGTTTAGGGCTTCCGAGAGTTCAGGGGTTATATGGGTATATAGGGGCCCCATTATAGGGATTATGTTGGGACAACGGAAAAGAAAATGGAAGCTGCTGTTCAGGGTTTAGGGTTCGTTAGACGTTGGGATAAGGTCAAGTGCTTGGGAGACTGTCGAAGCGCTTGGATTGGAACGGTGTGGTTGACAAGCTTTTTCCAAGGAGAGACAGCAGTCTGCAAGCAATTCAGCCGGCATTTTCTGGCGCGTGATGAAACACTTAGATGCTCAGAGAGTAGGAGCTTTCCAGTTGTGAAGTGGCATCAGCTGGTGTGGTATGTATGCCTTGCACCCATTGTCATGCCTCGTGCTGCCGAGTTCAGCCGCAACACCTTTGGTATTGCGAATCTAAGCCGCAAACCCTAAACCCTGAACCCTCTCGCGGGCATCAAAAGTCCGAAGGGTTGAACAATGAACGTACACCCTAAAACCCTAAACCCCAGACCCCAAAACCTTAGATCCTAAACCCTAACACCCTAAACCCTAAACCCTGAAGCTAAACCATGAAACACGTATGCCTCTATGAGGTGGACATGCTTGTGCACGGCAATGTCTCTGCAGACGAAACCAAGAGTGTAGCTGTCGCTTGCTCAACGATTAGGGCTCAGGTTTCAGGTTTTAGCGTTTAGGGTTCAGGATGTAGGGTTTAGGGTTTAGGGATTTTAGTTCCCCCCGGCCCTACAACTGTCATATGGGTGCTTCCCAAAATTCGGGTCCCACTTTGGACCCTAAATATTAGGTGCCGTAATGTAATCTATGACCAAACGGGGCCATAATTTCATAACGACCCGCATGCTACCGTTGGATCTGACGTCTGGTAATTTCCCTAAATACGGGGTCCAATATAGACTAGAATCCTTATTAGCTGAACCCGCAAAAAAGGTATTCCTAATTTGGGGAAACCACATGTAACAAAAGTTTTGTTCCCCATCCACGCGTTACCCTGCCGTTGGCTTGGGTAGTCTCTACGCTCCGGCGTCCGTGTGAGCCATAATCTAAACTCCTGAAAGGGGGATATAGGGTTTAGGATTTAGGGTCCAGGGTTTAGGGGTTATGGGATGAAAGGGAGAAGAAAAGGGCTTGTTGAGGGGGATACCAGGAGGAATTGGTGGAGATCACAGCCCTACGTCCTATAAGATCATAGTTCCAACCCCTCAGACGCTTTGAGTTCAACCAGGCGACGTCAGGGGTTCCCTGTTAGGTGTTTAAGGTTTAGGGGGTTCCCCCTGGATCAAACTTATTGTCCTGAAGTGACCTTTAAAAAAGGGGAACCTTGGGGTGGAGGGAGTATAGGGGGGGCAGTAGGGGAGCCCATGTAAATGGGGCTACGAAGATGGCGCCAGCAACTCTTTAGCCATGTTTGCCGCAATTTGTTTCCGAGTGCTATAACTAGGTACCCCAGTGGTACCCTTTTCCCCTTCTTTTGGGTCTCTTTATTAAAGCGGAACATTAGGAAAAAGTGTGCCCTTATTGTTAAGGGGTTACTGGGGAACCTAGATAAGGACACTGTATGCGCTACCCTGGAACGCCTGGGCGCAAAGCCTCTAAAGGAGCTGAGGAAGAAGGAGCCGTGCCTGCCTGGTAATCGTTGAATCTCTACCTAGACCCTCCTTCTACCCTCTATTATCCCCTAAATACCCACTATTAGGGACAATATACCCCTAGTTAAGGGTACAAGGAAGGTCATGGTACTGACTCTACTGGCTTAGTAGAGGTTGCTACTCTGATGTGGGGCCATGCCTTCAAAGAGAAGATATAAGGATGACGCATGATCTTGCAGCCATACCGCATGAAAGAACATCAGTCTTCAAGACGATTACATGCACCTGGAAGTCCCAAACTGCAGGGCTCCGCGAAAAGATTCTGGAATCATCCCTGAACGCGCGCTACTCCAGACCATTGGCGGCCAGCTACTGCGACACAGTACCATTAATGTTGCTTTACAGAAGGTATATGTGCAGGAAGTCTCCCAAGTCATGATGTGCTTAAGACTCTTACGTTCTTTTCAGATAGCCAGCATGATGCAGGAGATAACTCAGCTGCCCCTGAAATCCACCACCGTCTTTGAGTACGACTTGGCGGCGGAGAACCCGGCGCAAGAGAATTGCAGTACGCAGGTCGTGTATCAGGCGCTTCTGCGCCCTGTGGAATGGGGGATGTTTCAACGGCAGTTTTGTGATAATGGAGAAGCTACATTCTTATGTGGTATACATATATATGGGGATTAGAAAAAACCTTGATTGGAAGTAAGTTAGCCCTTCTTATTTGTCAGACAACTAGCTCAGTTTGTCTGCGCTGCGCCCTTACATGATAGTACCAAGCCTTCTAGAAACAGGTCCTCTCTTTCCTGATCCCGAGGTTGGTGGACCTCCTGCATGTCATGATCTGGGTGGTTTCGGGGCCCAAAAACACCCCAATATTTGAGTACTTGGACATTTGCACTGCACTCATCTAGTCTATCATGCTTCCTGGTCCACAGAGGTTTCGTTTGTTGCGGGCATTCAACCCTGAACCCCAAAATCTGAACCCTAAAACCTAAACCCTGCACTTTAAAACCTAAACCCTAAAACCTGAAAACTGGACGGACCTATGCCTGGGGGATGGTTTCAATGTCTTTCAAGTCATCAGCAGCCACAATTCCGGAGATAAACCCGGCATTCTGATAAATTAAGCCTTCCCTTCATATAAAACCCCCCACCGCCCTAATATTACATATTCCCATCGTGGTATGTCAGAACATTCTGGGAATATCTAATATTAGATGGTGGGGGGGGGATTTGATTTTAGTCAGCGTGGGAGGGGATTCTTAGATGTGATGCAGGTGGGCCCTACGAACGAGGACTTCCGGCGAGACGCATGCGTGTCTCTGACCTGCCACATCGCGCACGTCTCGGCCTTCCAAAAGCTCCGAACCGAGTTGCAGCTAGGGTGCGCCACCCCCACTATCCCAGAGGGTTCAAGTACCCAAGAATTGCGTACTTGGGTTTTTGGCATAGTAATTATAATATACGTTTTGAGTAAGTATATATAATATAGGTTTTGAGTAAGTATATATAATATAGGTTTTGAGTAAGTATATATAATATAGGTTTCGAGTAAGTATATATAATATAGGTTTTGAGTAAGTATATATAATATAGGTTTTGAGTAAGTATATATATAATATAGGTTTTGAGTAAGTATATATGATATAGGTTTTGAGCAAGTATATGATTATTGTATATGATTATGAGGCACTTGGACCCTTAGGGCATGAAGCTCGTGAGTTGCACTAGGGATCCAAATAGCAAGATGTGGGTGACATGTACGGTGTTCCGGGTTTGGGGCTTAGGGATCCAAATAGCTACCTCTAGGTAATGTTTAGTGACTTTGGGGCCCAAAGTAGGTATTATTTATATACGTGGATCCCTAGAGCACTAAACTTGGCTTTGGGTGTGCATTATCTAGGGCTGGGTTTATACCGTGGCCAGGACGTGCCTCGCAAGCCGCCTGGGATCCAAGTCTGTAGATACTCCCTACTTTGGGGCCCAAACTCTGTAAATTTGACGGGCATTGGCTATTTGGATCCCTAGGGATAGAATCTCACCATATCCTTGCGACCTTGATGTAAGGGCTCCCCAGAAGCGACTCCCTCAGCATGCCTTGGCAGGTACATTGTGCAAGCTTTCCCATGGGTGAATGAGCACATCTGCGGCTTCTCCGTGCTGGTGACTTGTTCCGCATTCACTTGAGTAGTATTTTATTTGGGGGGTATTATGGTACCCAATATAGAGCAAGATTGTATCCTCGTTTTGGGTACATTACTTTATACAAGAATTACAATCTTACTAGGTTCAACCAAAAAAAAACGCTACTCACTTGCTGTTGATGGCCGTGCACCTTGGTCCTTAGCCTTCTTTCCTGGGTTCCTACACTTAGCATCTTGCTTGGCGCTACCAACCCGGTTAAGGGTTAAGGGTTTAGGGGTTTAGGGTTTAGGGTTTAGGGCAAAGCATGATGGGGTTTTCCTAGATTCCAATTTCAAAGTCAGGGCAGGCAGGTCAGGACCGCCCTTTTTCGGCCCCCAGTCGTTCTTTCAACGAAATTGTTTACAGTAGAATTTTCAGTAGATCATGCTAAAGCCCCTAATTTCTCTTTTCGTCTACAAGATCCAATGTACTTTATTTTGAGTTCTACCGTAGTTTGTTCCCATGATTCTTTAAAAAGCTGTTGCTTTCCACTTTCTTGTCCATGTGATTCTCCATTGTTGAGGTATGTAGCCCCAAGCCCTAAATGCAGTTTCCAGCGTGTGTTCAATTGCCCCTGCATGACCCTGTAAACTTCTAAGATAAGAATACAGCCCCCAAATAAGAGTAGCTTCCATGGTCTTTTCCATTATCCCCTGCCTGTACTTTTGAAACCCGAAGCACTAAACCCGAAAAAGAAACAACCCAAAGCCCTGAACCCTAAACCCCCAAACCTTTAAACCCTAAACCCCCAAACCCCTGAACCCTAAACCTCTAAATCCTGAGCCCTAAACCCTAAATCCCTAAATCCCCACACCCTAAAGCCTAAAGCCTAAACCCAAGTCAAGGTCCAGGGGCCCCGGGAACATCCTCAGAAAGTTGATGAGCTGATCGAAGAATGGCTCGAGGACTTCAGCAAGGAGCTGGAGGCGCTCAGCCGCGTCTGAGGGTTCTATAGGAGTTATATAAGGTAATATTGGGGTTATTTTGGGATAATGGAAAATAGAATGGAACCTACAGGATTAGGGTTTGGGGGTTGAAGTAAGAATGGAAAATCAAAAGGAAAAGAAAATGGAAAATGAAATGGAACCTTAGGTCCCTTTAAAGGGTTATATAGGGGTATATTTGAGGTTATAGGGATTCAGGGTTTAAGGTTTGGGGGGTTTAGGGTTTAGGGATGAGGTTTTCCGGGCGCGGGATTTAGGGTTTAGGGGTTAGGAATGACGGTTTAGGGTCTAGGGTTTAGGGTTTAGGGATGAGGGTTTAGGGTGTGAGGGTGGGGGAGTAGGACCTACGGACCTGCGGGTTAGAGGAGTTACTTGGTAAGGATATGGGATGTATAGCTTAAGATGCAGGCTTCAGGGCTTCAAAATGAGGATTCCAGTAGTTGTTAAGCAGGTAATATCTAGCTCATTGCTGTCATTGCTCACTCCATGCTGTTCAACCCAATGTATATCATTTGCTGGGCTTCTCTTGTTTGGCTGATGCGTGTGCCTGGTGTGCTTTTGTATGCTGAAGTTGGGGCTCAGCTTTCAAACTGTAAGCTCTTGGGTCTCCAAGGGCTGTGGGGCTTTCCAGAGTACCCATTGTCGGGCATACCCGGGCCCAGGCACGGGATGCCGCAGCGGCTTGCGTATTGATCTTGGTGGCACGGCATGGGTTTGGCGTGGTTTGTTGCTCATGTTTTTGATTCTGGTATTCTTCTAGGAAACGTCAGGGCAGACCAGCTGCATCTCACCTCCTCTTTGCCGGCCAGTGCACAGTCGTGGGTCGTCGCAAGTGGAAGAAACCCGATATCTAGACATTGCGCCCACATGCTCTCGAGGGACGTGTTCGTCCAAAGTCTTGGTGCAAGTCTCCGCCCGCTCAACTGCCATCCCTTGTGGTAGCAGGAAAGGTTGTCAGCAAGGTAGCCGACCTCATCGCCTCTGTTAGGACATGATACCCTTTTAGGTACGGATAGGCAACAATTGATGTTGAGTCGCGCATGCTGCCAGGCGATGACGGACGAGGACTTCCAAAAGAATGTGCAGGCCAGGGTGACGGCGCATGCTCATGATTGATTAATCTTCTCAAAAGCTGTACTTTCAGACAGGCTGGTCACGGAGTCGGTTAGCAACTGTGGTGTTATTGACGCTGTGACCATGAAAGCTAGATGCAGCTGTGTATCTTTTTTTGTTATGGCCTTCAGGCTTACTCAGAGTAGCCTACAGCTGCTAGGGTAGGCAAGACAGGAAGAGACTGATGCTAAGGATCCCAGGTACACTGGACACGGCGTCAGTGAAACTGTTTGAAACCCCTCTTGCACTAAAAGCTATCGTATCCCTAAACTCTAAACACCCAAAGCCTAAACCCTAGGCTGCACTGCTGGCTTTTTGGGTTACCTGAGTTGATGTTGACCACTGTGGATTGAGGGAGTTAACTGCTACTGCTTGATGTCCCGTGTGAAGAGGCAAAGCGACCCTTCAAGAAGTTAGGGTCACCACAAAGTGCTTAGAGCGACCGTCAAATAACCCTATGGGGTTTTAAGCACATCCCTATTTCCCTAGGGATCCATGTATGTAAAAATTACCTACATTGGGCCCCAAAGTCTGTAAACATTGCCTACATGGGGCTATTTGGGATCCCTGGGGTTTTGAGAACCCCCAAGCAGAAGCATGCTGGGCTTTTATTGCAGGCTTTGGTCAACGAGCGCACGCAGCGCTATTCCAGGCTTCTCCAGGAGGCCAAGCACGGCATATTGTCCCAATAATGGAGAGTCAAATGGAAAGAAAAGGGGAATGGACACGGAGGCTACTTATTAGGGTTAGGATTCCGAGGTTTGGGGTAATTGTAGCCCAACAATGGAGAATCAAATGGAAAAGAACATGAAATGGGACATGGATTCTACAGATTGTTAGGGGGAAGTGTGTATATATATATATATATAGCGAGATTAGGGGTTCAGAGCATTTGTACCCCGATCAATTACCTCCAAGTAGTTGTGGGTCACACTTGGATTTGCCAGGTTTGCTGAGGTCAGGTGAGTGTGGTACCTTTTGGGGGGTAAGATATGGGGGTTGTATAGAGATAATGGAAAAGAAAATGGAAACTACTATATTATAATAGGGTATATATTGGGGATATATTAGTATTAGAACCACACACCCTTTAAGTCTTTGAGTCTTAAGCCCTTAGCCCAAGATCCTATATAGTGTTTATGCAAACCCTATATAACTCCTATATCCAGTCCGCAGATTGATTTCCCCTCGAAGTTGCAACAAGCCGTTCCGTCGTAGCCAGACTCAGTTTCCAGTAAGGGTTTGGGGGTTAGGCTTCTTTGACTGTGAGGCGGAGGCTTCTATGTAGGCCCAAATACGACTATTAGGGCCCATATGAAACTAGTAGGGCCCATATGAGCTACATTCTAAACTCCCAGTATCCCCTTAATGAACCCTATAATGGATCCCTATAGAATTCCCATCTAACCCGACTTTGAGGAGTTTAGACTATAGGTCATATAATTCCAGGTAGGGGTACTAGGCGGGTCGTGGTAAGTCAGCCGCCAGGGCGGTCCCAAGGAGTTTGGGTTGTGAGCTGAACCCTAAACCCCTAACCCTAAACTCTGAACCCCCTAAACCCTAAACCCTGAACCTTAAACCCTCAACTCCCGAACCCTAAACCCTAGAGCCCTAAACCCTAAAATGCTTGAGCTCTTAGCCTGCAGGTTACGCGACACTGGGCCGAGATCCTTCCTCGGCGATACAAGCTGCTCAGTTGCTTCAAACAGGTGGTGCAGTACCTAGAATCCCATACCTTGGGTACTGCCCCCCCTCGGATAATAATCATAATGTGGTTATATATAGCCCTTAATAGGACCCCTACTATAGACTGTTACTGGGTGGGGGCAGTACCTAGAATCCCATACCCTACACTTTTTCTAGGATAGATAATTTGATTTCCAGTATCTTTGCATACAGAATTCAATACCGTAAAACCCCTTGCTTAGCATATCTAACTTGGCGTTGAGTATTTTAAGATACAGAACTACATGTCCTGAAAAGGAGTGGGTAATTGGCAGCAGGGGTCTAGGTAGCCCAGGATGCTGTTTACGAGTTATAAGGCGCTCAACAGCGGAGTCTGTCAAGGCCCCACCGGTGGCGCGGAGAAAATCTGAAGATCAGAACTTGAGACAAGGAGAAGTCTGTATACGTAGCAATGACTTGACAGCAATGTTGGTCTTGCGCCTGTGTTGTTCCATTAATCTGGGGTCGTTGCTTTTTATTACCCCACTTCCTAACACTCCAACCAGGCCTCAACGTTCATCTGGATGTTGCCGGAAGACGAAGAACGATAATCAAGAGGTAAAACAATAACGCTCAACAGCCCATGGAAGAAAAGGAAGAAAAACGACATCGGCACCCCAATTCCCAGTACTATCCTGATCCCAAATTTCCAATCAGCAGGTTCCAGAGGGTCGTGGAGTCTACAGAGGCCTTGAAGTCTGTCACAAAGGAGGATCTTATTACCTTCTTCAAGGAGCTTTGGGCTAGCGTTTTGGGGGCTTGGCACATCTAGGTGCTTTCAGAGAGATTGCAGGGGTTACATGGTGATGTATAGAGTTTGGGGTCTTGGGCCTTGGGTTTAGTAGCCGGGCATTGAAGGAATAGATCTCTAGAGTAGTTCCTACTTAGTGTCCCTGAGCCCGTTCCTGCACTCGTACAAGCCACAAGTCAAATGTGCAGGGTAGGGGATCTAGGATTGGGGACTTAGCCTAGGGTTTTGCACGACAGTTTGAAGTTTTGATGGTCATTTTTGAAAACTTGGAGCGCTGTGTTGGTAGTCTTATGATCACGAACTGCATTGCAAGCCATGAGATGCGATTTCTTTCGGCAAAATGTGTTAAGTTTAGTATTTATTGTGTTCCATTCTAAGACACGTCTGAATTCACAGGGTGGAAATCCGACTGCTAGGTACATGTGTTTGGGGGCTTTGATTTGCGGTGCAGCACGCTGCACCCTATACTTTATACCCTACCCGGGAGACCCTGGACGCCAAAGCGCCAAACTTAATACTTGTCAAATGTTTGATTCTAAGGCTTTAGACCCCAAAGTAGGAACTGCTTATAGACATAGAGCCCTTGGGTAAGGTCCCAGGAGTACTTGGCGAAGGAAACCAAGAACTCTAAACCCAAACCTTAAGTCCCAGGAGTACTTGGCGAAGGATGCACCCTCCAGGCGAAAGCTGAGCGTCCGCGTCCTGGGCACCACGGCCGACGGAAAGAGTCTTGTCTTCTCTTCTCCTGGGGCTCCAAACAGCCCAATGTAGGAAATATTTACAGACTTTGGGGCCCAATGTAGGCAACATTTGTATACTTGGATCCCCAGATTTTTCCTGGGGCTCTATATGTCTTTAAATGGCACCAAAACACGCAAGTAATAACCATGTCATAATCTATATCTATTCGTTTCACCACAAGACTTAGGATACCTGGGCGTGTTTACTAAGTTTTGGGAGCAGTTTGCAGATTGAGCAAAATAGACTAGAATAGGATGGAGGCCCCGTAGTGATTCCAGCAAGCGCTGCGATATTGGAGTATGTTGCTGAATGTTCACTGCGGCTTCTATGTCTCTGCTTGGTTGCCTCATTTGGGTACACCCAGATACTAACAGCAAGGAGTGGGAAACCCCTCCCACCCTCACCCAGCCAACATTCACCCAAGGAAGAGCGATGATTTGGAGGAGTCGGATACCAGACTCAGCAATGTTCACGAGCTCCGCGACTTCCACGGTCAGACGGATTTCTATCCTCCCCTCTTGCCAGCCGAGATGCCGGCGACCGCGTGAATGCTTCCAAAGTCTAGATAGCCTTAGCTCGTTTGTGTGCATCTATAAGGCAAGATGTGAGTATCGCCAAAACGCACTCTCATCTTTCTAGAATAAGAGAGGTTCTTGAAGTACCATGCAATAGATCCCCACGTTCGATATTCATCCGACAGGGTCTGGGATGGAACCTGGCACCCGCCTTGTAGGTTTAGGTTTCGAGGATCTGTGGATTCTCGGCAATTTTCCTCCGCCCCTGGTGTCCACTTGCATGCCACTGATTGTTGCAAATTCCTAGGGGCCGCTACGATTTCGAGTTTATATGAATTTCTCGGCGCATGCGGGTGCTTACTGGTGCTTAAGGGGGAGAGGGGGAGTGCATCCTTCTAGTAACCTCTATATAATCGCCATAACTACCCCTATAATAGTCTCATTCACTCCCCTTTAAACATTGAACTCTATGATAGTCCCTACGTTCACTCCCCCACTCCCCTTATGGCTTGGGGCGTTGGGGGTGCAGCTCGACCGACTAGTCAATACCAAAGTCTTGTCTGCGCACGGCAGAAGACTGGCGTTATGCATGTTTAGGGGTTATAGGGTTCTGCAGAATAAACAGAATAAACACATTCAGGATTTTAGGCTATCTAGGGTATAGGGGTGTTCTCCCAATAGCGGAGAATCCAATGGAAAGGAACATAGAACATGAAACGAAACCGTGACTATAGCGAATTGGATTGAAGCTCCTTCTACTCACTGCTTCCAAAAACTAGAGTCTTCCTTCGAGTAGTCCTTCATTTCTTTGGACTGAGGAAATCTTGGAACAACCTATAGACTTACCCTAAACCCTAAACCCTCTAAACCCTAAACCTACCTTGAAATTACAATATGGGTGATTGTCAAAATTATGGTCCTTTTTTGGGTACCCTAAATATTAGGTGCCGTATTATAATAGGGATCCAAAAAGGGTCCGTAATTTTGACAACCACCCATATACTGGGATCTGGCGTACTGCAGGATTTCCATCCACGATGATGGCCCTGAGCCATTCCTCGGCTTAACTAATCTTTCCGCACCCGATCCTGCAGGCTACGCGCACCTGGATGACATGGATGACATTCGTACATACATAAGTATATATACATATATATATGTAAATTGATATGTGTGTATATATATAAATATGTATGTATGTGTACATAGGTGTTTATATATATATAAGTAAGGGTTATATTAGTGCAGGGACTGTGGCAATCATGTATGTATTGCATAATGGGACAGCAAAGTCAAAGGGAAGATGAAATGGAAACTGGGGCCTGATGGGGTTTTTACAGGTTTGGGGATCTTGGTTTCCATAAACCTAGACTCTTTAGGGCCTTGAGGTAAACTTAGCTAGAGAAGGCGGTTCCTAGTAGCGAGCATTTGGGCCATGATGGAGGGATCTTCTGCATGCCTTGGGGTCGATCCTAGATATATATGGGAACTTCCCCAAAAATACTTAGCTCACATAGATTTAGAATGCCTCTGTAATCCTCAGCAACGCATGAGTTTTTAGAGCCCCCCCAAAACCCTAAGCTACAAAATTTCTAGTCCCTGTAAGCTTCTGGTAGAAGCTGAGGCCGCCAAGGCTCGCGAGCACATGACCAAGGCGGAGCAGGCAGCAGCACAATTCAGGGGTCAGGGAGGTCGGGGTTCCGTAATTTTTCAGGGTTTAGGGTTTAGGGTTTCAGGGTTTCAGGGTTTCAGGGTTTAGGGTTTCAGGGTTTCAGGGTTTAGGGTTTCGGGTGTATGTGAAGCACACCCTACAGTACTCCATCTGTAGTAGTGCAAAGTTTCAACCTACGAGGGCCAGACAAGCTTCAGCTTTTCTTCAGCTCTTCCAGGCGAGGAGTAGAATACGGTTGGTTGTCAAAATTATGGTCCCTTTTTGGGTACCCTAAATATTAGGTGCCGTATTATAATAGGGATCCAAAAAGGGACCATAATTTTGATAACCACCCATAGGGTTCGGATCTTGGCAAGAGGCTCCATCAAAGTGCAGCGCTGAACCTCTTATGGCGATACTAGAGATTATAATGCTGAAGCTCTATATGATCCTTCTAGAATCCCCATATGTTCGCCTATAATTAGTCGTCATTCAGCTCCCCATGAGACCTACACCCTAATTTGAAAACCCCACACCCTATTCCTTAAACCCAAACCCTAAACGCCAAAGACTAAACCCCACACCCTAAACCCTAAATCCCTCAACCCCTCAACCCCTAATCCAAACAGGCTCTGAAGCCATCCTGGGTGTCCTTCAAGTTCAGCTGGAAACTCAGAGCCATCCACCGGGCTAACAATGGATCTAGGGTCGAGGGCTTAGGGTTTAGGATTGTGACGGGGATATCTGAAATATCTAGGGGATTTATTTTTCAGGCGTTGGGTAGATTGTAGGGTCATGAAGGGGTTTTATTGAAATATCTAGGGGAGTTGTGATTTAGGGTGGGTAGAGTTTAGGGTTATGAAGGGGCTTTAGAAGGATGTATCCAAGGTGTCCACTGTGCACAGGAAGCAGTATTTCGGGTATACATTATGTGGTAGGTTGTCCAAACTGACATCCCCTGTTGGTTCCCCGTTTTATGGCCCCAAATTATGCACTTGTGTTTCGCAACATACCTGCCTAATGAATCCCATCCCCCGATATCAAACCCCCCTACCCCTACTATCGAATATTTCCATTGCGGCATACTACAATATCTCGGCAATATTTCATACTAGGGGGCTGGGAGGTTACTAGGGGAAGGAGATGAGTGCACTTACTGTAGCACGGCTGCTTCTTGTCATCTAACCTCCTAAGGTCCGGATCACCTGACGGCATCCATGGAGTACTCGCAGGCAGTTTGGTGGGGTTTAGGGTTCAGAGGTGGGGTTGGGGCTCAGGGTTTACGGTAATGTTCAGGGTTGGGGTTTAGATTGTGTTCCCCTAATCCCTTACCCTAGGCCCCTGGGCGTCCAAAAAGCCCAAAGTAGGTATCATTCATAGATTTTAGGGGCCCAAAGTAAGTAGTATTTATAGGCTTAGATGCCCAGTCCCAGGGTAACCGCACTAACCTGAGAACTCCTAACGCATGTCCATCAATGCTTGCTCTAACTTTTCATCGTGAGCCGATCCATTCTGGCCCAAGCACTGTAGACCCCTGTTCTGCATTGTTTGGGCATATGGGCTATGCTCAATATTCTCGGCCACTGTTGGTTCTAGCTTACTTTACGGCACCTAATATTTAGGGGTACCAAATTGGGACCTTATTTATTGGAACTACCCATGCGTAAGGCTTAAGTTTCAGGGTTTAAGGTTTAGCTGCCTGGAGACCTGAAATCTCCGCTGCATTAGAATCTCAGCGGTTGTGCTATGCCTTCTAAGCCCTAAACCCTAAACCCTTCACCGCGTTTCTTATCGTTGTTTGGAGTCTCGGGTCTTGCTGCAAGACACCAACACCTTTGAGTAGATTATAGTGGATTATACTAGAATATATATATATATACACATATATATATATAACAGTAGATTATAGTAGAGTAGTATATTATAGTAGATTTCAGGGATAATATGAGATAATACAGGGCTATATAGGGATAATGGAAAAGAACATGGAAACTACTAGAGTATATTGGGGTTATGTTGGGGTACCAACTCCCTTCCTTGGCAATTTTCCTCACCATGGGAAGTCATGCGCTGGCAAAGGCGGCCACCCAATTTCGGGCAGCCAACATGCTTCAAGAATCTGCAGGGGCCCCAGTGTTGGACTCCCTTTGCGGATAGATGTCCCGCTCGTCCAGTTTACCTATTGGAGCACCCATAGGAGACATTGTTCGGCTTCCGCATCTTTGTTGGTGGATTTTGCGTCTTTGATGATTGGAGTCGTGAGTTCATGGCCTCTTGACCGCGTTGTGTGACTACTGCCAGATACTGCCTCAACATTGCAGATGGTTTAGAAAGCCTCTTCATATTCTTCCCACACGGCCTCGTTGCCCAGACCTCAAAGCAGCCCAAAGCAGGTACTATCAATAGACTCAGCGCTCAGAAGTTGGACACACGATATGTACACTCACCAACACTCCTAAGGAACGCGCTGTTGCTCACCAAAAAACACTGTGAAAAACATACTTCATTTACAGACTTGCAGCCGCAGGGATTTGCACAACGGAACTCAGGCTGATGCCTGGGCCAAGTCAGGCGAGATGAAGGACTGGAATCCAACAAGACTTCTTACAGTTAGTATCCTGCAAAAACTAAGGTGAAAATCATGGTCCGGTTTGGGCACTCTATATGCAAGGGCCATATTAGACTAGGGACCCAAGAAGGGACTGTGATTTCGAAATCTTGGCGTATGACATGAACCCACCTTGAAGACACCCCAGAATTCTTGGCATCTGGGTCTTTGGACCAGCTTGCTTGCAAACTGCGCGCGACGATGGTGAACTGCTTTTGCCACGATTTATACGTGCCGCACCCCAGCCCCCTAATCCATGGCACGCCTGGACAGTTTTTCAGGAGCAGCTACATGACCTCTTTGGTGCGGGCAGGGCGTGCGCCAGAGAGCACCAGCAAAACAGGGGTGTTTGGGTTGTGTGTGGAGTATTGTCCCACGCATGAACCCAAAGTTGTCTGCTGAACCAATTATCTGCTTCCTCTTACAGGGACGAGGTTTGGACCAAGGTGCTAGTCTGGAAGCTGCATGTGGCGTTCAGCCGCGTGCCAGCACCGAGTGCATTCACATTTGCCATTCCCATTGGCCAGTTTGCCCTGGGTAAGTGTTGCACAACTTTGCTACTCGTCTAATCCAGGGCGGCTCAGCAGCTACAGCTTGACTTCCCCACTGTTGCAGCGTTTACTGGCCATATCTGGCCGTGATCAAGTCAAGGCACACGATCTGTGCGGTAGATCAATGCCATGGTTTGCCGGAGCCATTGCCCACTCGCGAAATGGCAGCGCGCTGCTTCTGGCAAAGACCCGGGCTGCATAGGACATTCCTTCAACAACCTTCTGCATGCAGAGCTGTCTGCGCATCTACACTTCTTCACCGCTGTTTTCCAGACCATACTACACTGACAAGAACAGCACCTCCCCGGCAATACTTGGAGAACCTCGCCGACCTTGTTGCCGAGGCGCGAAATGCAGCACGGCGGCATGTGAACAGAGGTCCTACAAGAGGGGCCAATCAGGAAGGAGAAATGCCATGCAACGTTTGTTGGCGGCACTTGCCGTCAGACATGTTCCCCAAGGGGTCCAGTAGATGCAGGGCGTGCAATGCACAACTCTTTCGTGAGTACCATCGTACGTTGCGAGGGAGTGCAACTGTTTTGTTGTCTGGAGCAAGGGCAAGATCCAAGAAAAAAGGGTTCTCCTGCAGCATACGGAGGGACGATATTCTGGATATGCTTCTGCATCAGCAGGGACGTTGTGCCTATTCTGGAGTACCAATGGAAATTGTATATCCCAACTCTGACTGGCGCATGTCCCTGGAGCGCATTAACAACTGCCTCGGCTATAGCTGTGATAACTGCGTGCTGGTGGCTTCCGAGTTCAACTCAGGTGACCACAGCAGGCGTCCAGGTGTGAAGCAAGAAGAGGTGCACGGGAGCGCACAATGGTCTGGCGAAAAAGTTAGACTTCTTCTGAGTCTGCAAGAATCTTTTGTAGATGTGACATTCTTGAATAGAGACGTTGCAAATGCTTTGGACATCCGGGCATTCAGATCAGAAATGCCTCTTGACTGTCCGCATCGCAGGACTTTAAGAGGCAAGTCCAAGTGCTTGGTTAACCATGCCCGGTGGCATGCCAAACAAAAGCGACTTGCCTGCTCCATTGACTACACTGATATACTGCAAATGCTTTTGCAGCAGGGAGGGCGTTGCTTCTACTCGGGCGTGCCGTTGCGCTACAAGCACTGCCATATGGATTGGATCATATCACTCGAGCGTCTCGACAATACAATCGGTTACACGAGCGGTAATTATGTCCTTATCGCGGCAGAGTTCAACACGCCAGATCGAACACGCTACGCTGTAGGGGACGTGCTGGGATCATCGCAATGGTCGCTCGCCAAGGTTATGCATGTCTGGGGCAAGGCTGGGTACCTCAACACTTAGAGATGCGACATGCCCAAATAGCAGCTAAGTGCAGGCGCCGAAGAGAGGGCGTACTCACAAGCAGAATGCTCGTATTTTCTGCACGACGACGACCTTTCCAAAAGGAGACTAAGATCTTGACGCACGCCTCTGTGGGAGCCATGACCCAGAAGGCCAACAGAAGTTGCTTGCTTTCATCCGATGCCTTCATCATGATGGCATGCAGGAGACAACGTACGAAGACAGACCTGTGAGAATCAGGATTGGCCTGCGTGGCATAACCACTCGGTGAAGAAGGCTTTATCAACCCCAGATGTCTCCCAGACCCGTGCACGCAGAGCACGTGCGTTTAGCTGCTAAATGTTCCAGTCTCCACTGTCCAGACCCATCTTGGATTAACTGCAGAGTGCCGATCGCTGCTAAGTTTCACGTAGACATTGCCTATGCTGCAAGAACACCCTTGAAGTCAGGCAGCAAGCAGCGCAGCCACGTTCCTTTGTGAAGCCATGCAATGCTGAGGACTTGAACAGGATCTACCTGTACAGGCTTTGCAAACTTCAAACGCCGAAAAGAGCTCCTTTATGACAAGCTCAATACCACAACCGCCTCACCATTGAAGCCGCACACATCCCAGCAACCTCCAGAATCAGACGGTGCTTTATTCTACTCGCAGGGTGGGGGGGGTCTCACCAAGTGCGCCTATTGATCCACATAAGCTAGATGAAATCTCCAATTCATTTGCTACTGGCCAGACCTCACGCAGCTCAATCCATTTCACGGTCAGAAAAATTTTCACCCAGGACAACACTGCCAACATCTCTGCTTCCATAAGGAAGTACCTACATTGTTCAAGGGGCTTCAGTTAAGGAGGACCTAGATCCTCAAAGTATGTAAACTAGTGGCCCCAAACCCCCAGAATGTAAAACGAGCCATTACTGTACATACTGTGGGGTTCCAGGGGGGCCTTTGGGCAGCCACTGCGGAGGTACGAAAGCGCCGGCAGTCTCTGCGACGGCACCGGACCAGGAGGACCTCACACCCTAAATCCGAAACCCTAAATCTTGGATTCTAAACCCTAAATCCTAAACCCTAAATCCGAAGCCCTAAACCCTAAAAACCCGAAAACCTAAGGCCCTAAACCCTAAATCCTAAACCCTAAAGGACCTGCGACTGCCATGGCGCACTGGCAGAAGGCACGGAAGCTTCAGCCATGGCTGCGAGATGTTGAAGTTCAGTTGACAGAATACAAAAATGCAAATGATGATAATAATCATGCTGATAATGTCAATAGTGATGCTACTAATCATGATATTTCTATTGTTGTTATTGTGACTAATCTTATACTTACTTGTGAGCGTTGTTATCACTTATTTACTAGTTTTGTTATAGCTTGTGTATTAGCATTGTTATTATTCACAATGGTGATGATAGTCTCTGTTAATAATAGCAAGAAAATTATTAATGATGCTATGATTCGCAACTATAGTATTTCTATCAAGAAGACTGATACCTATGATAAGTATGATTATCATGATTCTGATGGCTATGATACGGGTTATGATGTGGTGGAGTATGCAGTAGCAAAGGAAAAGCACTTTGTGTCATGACTGCTTTATCGGTTTTTGCATTATGTCGGTTTGCCTTTGGAACCACGCAATGATTGAGGGTTCGCAGGTAAGAGCATCTTTGCCAGAGCTTGCATATTTTGAAAGAAGCTCCCTGTCATTTCCCTCAGCAGGGTTTGTGTGTGCCAAGCGTGTGCTCCTCCATGCATCCTAAACCCTAAACCCTAAACCGTGTAATCAGTAGACTTTCAGGTTGCATATCATATCTAGCGGTTCAAAGCTCAAACGATGCCAGGACTTCTCTGGGAAAGCAGAGGTGAGTAGACAGCAGGATTTAGGTCAGTCATATTGCTTTGAGAGTCTTTGTTGGCAGGCAGTGCAATGCTTCCGCATTGCTGGCAAGTCAGACGTAGCAGCAAAGGCCAGAGAGGGTAACTGTGAACCGGGGTAGTAGGAATTTCCCTGGAGCCCAATGCACTTTAAGTGATGAAGATTCCTACCCCAAATAATCCCTTCCCCCTAATATGAAAACCCCCTAATATTGAATAGTTAAAGGAGCATCAAAGGGAATATGATATGGACACTGGGTTTATACAATATTAAGGATCCTAGGATCAATCAAGGCAACCTTCTTAATTACTGTTTGTTGGGCTCTCTGGTTTGTTGGGCTTCGCGGATACAACATAGCTGATCAAGTGCTCATCTGCCAGGGACGCAGGTTGGTGGCGGAAACTAGTGTTCCGCCATTCTGGCTCCTACAACCTGTCTGGATGAAGGGGAGAGGTAGTTGGATCCCTGCTTTTGAGACATGATTCATGATACATCACCAATTTTTGGAATACGGTTCCTTGTCATGAATCCTGTTCGGCAGGGCTCGTCAGAAGTAATCACTTGCACCACCACAAATGGCTCGATCTCCAGGAAGCAACCCTGGGGCTCCAATCGAAGTCTAATACAAACTACCTTCCCACTAATAGTGACCACCAGAGGTAATGGTGAGAAAGGAAAGGTCCTTATACATTCCTAGTATACCAGTATTAGTGGGTGGCCGACCCCAACAAATACCAGCATTGGGCCCTGAAATTCATGGATAGTGTTTACGTGGAGCATTCGCCATAAAGTAATGACAGTAACGATAAGCGAAGAAAACATAGCATGAAACTACAATCTTTGTCCAATCATTCTTTTTCGTGGGTATCACGCTCTAGCAAAATGGATAACAATGACGGCAACACTACAGATTGTCAGACTGATCCATGACACTTGACAGTTTAATGCAGTAATAGTACCAGACATGTGGAGATTTGCAGAAAAAGGTGCCACTCAAATAGCCCCAAAACACCAAAAAATACTTATGATCGGGACTCCCAAGGGCGCCGCCTCATTTTGGAAACACGAAAGTTCCACAAATCCCTACCCGGCCCTACCCTAGGAATCCATGTATGTAAATAATACATGGGCCCCAAAGTCTGTAGATATTGCCTTCATTGGGCTATTTTTAGATCCCCACGGCTATACAGATCCCATTTTTTTGTTTTTTTCGATTGCCCAGCTCCTGCTGAAGATGGCGGCAAACAAGGAGAAGCCTGACACTTAGCGAGCTGGCGTTGTGTGGAGTCCTCGTATTATATAGGGGCGTAAATCATTACTACCAATATTATGGTTCCATTTTTAATCCTGATACAATTATGGTCTGTGGTACCTCAAGTGGACCTCAAAATGATGTTGGTAATTATCTAGGCCCCTGTAGTACCACTCCCCCTAGGGTGCCAATTCGGTTGCATCTCCAGCCAGTAGTCCATACACCTCTTGCCGAAGGTTTACGCATGGTAGTTTCCCAAAGTAGGGGGACCCAAATATAGACCTTAAAATATTATAATCCTTATGATGGGGACCCCCAAGAAGGTACCCCTGAGGGAACATGCTCCTACTTTGGGCATTTTACAGTCGTTCAATGGAGCCTGGGCTGGTTCCTTCAAGCCCTGTGGGTTTGCCGCCCCAAGCACTTGTAGCCTTTCGTTGTGCGCGCGGTACGCGCAGCGACGCTGGATTGAGGTAAGAACTATTCGTGGTTCTCTTTGAAATGCCAAACATCCTCGGACCCACCTAAAATGTCAAGCAAGGAGCTGCTCCCAGTACCATAAGTCCTCACTAACATGAATGCAAGCATGGTGTTTGTCAAGAGATTGGTGCCCTCTTTGGGTTCTCATTACAATGTGGCGCCTAATATTTAGGTTCATGGTGCCCGAAAAGGGATCATACTTTAACATCGCTTCGCAACATAATGCCTCGAACATCGCACGGCTCCAACCAACAAACCTAAAGCCTAAACCCCAAGGCCCCAAACCCTAAGGCCCTAAAACATCCTAAATTCTTTTACCCAGGCAGGGGGACATCGAGTCTGCCAAGACCTCCTTCCAGGTTGGTAGCAGATTTCCTTGCAGGGGCCAGATACATAAGAATATATGAAATGCTGTCAATATGAGGCTTAGAGGCCCCTCCCGTGGTTTAGTATAGTCCCTAATATATCCCCCAACAAGAAGCCCATGTCCGTTTAAAAAAGGAGGAAATATTGACTGTAGCTCATATTAGGGTTATACATGTGTGTATAATACGCATACATAGGGGCATATAGCTATATACATATATATATATATGCACATATATAATTAGTTTTATAGATATATGTATATGTATATGTAGGTATATAGGGTTTGGGGTCCGGGTACCCAAGAATGGTTTACTTGGGGCTTGGTCAAATGTAATTAAAGTGCAGGTTTCGGAAAAGTATGTGATTCTGTGGTACTTGGACTTGGAGCCTTAGGGCTTTTGAAGGGTGTGAAGGTTCTGAGCTTTTGAGGCTTTGTGAGGGTAGGGTTTATGCTGGATTGTGTCGAGACTCACATAACAAATGACTCAGGATTGTTGGGTGCAGTGTTGGGGGGGGGGGAGTTTCGAAAAGCTGTAGTAACTGTAGTATTGACAGCAGCAGCATTAATCATCATAGCTCCCTGGATAGCGAGCATGAGGGGCTTGAGCTCCTCAGCACCTGAAACCTCTAACTTCTTCTTCTAATCGGACCTCCCAAAGCCCCAAACCCTAACCCCTAAACTCCGGTTACCTGGGACTGCTGGCCCTGGAGAAAAGGTCCCCCCCCCCAAAAAAAAACTCCGGTTACCGAAAGTTTGGACTTATCACGGGAGTCTGTACTTCTGAGACAGCCAATGAGAGGACCCCCATATTGCAGGGTTTAAATTAGAATCCTGTTGCAGGTTACAGTGTCCTCACTCTAACAAGGACCCTTTACTATCATGTGACATTCATAGGGTCCCAGTTGGGGTAACAAGAACCCTCGTATTTGGAGTTTCCACGGAAATGGGGCCCCCCAACATAAATCCAAAGATACTATAATCCATATGGGGTCTAAGGTTTGGGGCTTCGGGACTTCCAAGACTGGATCCCCCCCCACCTGGTGGAAATCCATCGTTTCGATGCCAGACGAATTGCGCAGGATGCCCTCAGCTTGTACGAGGATGAGGAGAAGGAGCTGAGTGGTGTAAATAGGGTTTAGGGTTTAAGGAATAATTGCCAACATTGTGGTTCTAGATATTGGGATACTACTCTTGGGCTGTCTTCTGCCTGGCTCAGGACTTTATCTTCACAGGTTTCCTACTGTCTATAGTAGGGAGTCTAAAGCTGTAGCGTTTAGGGGGTGTCCTGATGACAGTACCTAGTTAAGTACTCCTGAACCATAAGCCCTAAGCCCTAAACCGGGTTTAGGGTTTAGGGTCTATAGGGTTTAGGGTTTAGGGAAACCCTAAGCCCTAAACAAACCCTTTGGGCGGGTGCTTGAACAGGACTACGAGCTGGGGGATGTGTACAAATCGTGTGGGCCTTGACAGTAGGCGAAACACGGACCTGCCCGCGGATAAGGCAGAAAACCTGTACAGTTAGCATAGGGACCATGAAAAAATGGAACTACCACTTAGGGTCTGGGGCTTAGGAATATGACCGCCATAGTGAAGCATCAAATGGAAAAATCCATGGAAGCTAGTATAGTGTCGTTGTGCCCTTCCATTCCCTTGGCAAGATTTGTTTGCTTTTCATGGCATTCAGTACGCTAAGTGGAACCGAAGCTATTGTGCGAACAATGGAGGCCGCCACAGGGGTGCACAAACCCCTGAACTTCAGGGTTTTAGGGTTTAGGGTTCAAAGTTTTAGGGGATTCAGGATGTTAGGATTTGGGGTTTTGCACGGCATGACGCGACCCTTGTGCATTTTAACGCTTGAAGATGTTACTCATGCGGGATATGTACAAGGCACTTGTGCTAGCTTGCCTCCAAAATTCAGCATCCTGTATCACTTGTCATGTGATGTGAACTCCCCAACTATCTATGCTCCAAGTACCCTACATGGCTACCAGAATCATCATTGTTATAAGAACTCTCATGCTTCCCTTCATCTTACTGGTTCTTAGTATGGGATATATAAACCCTTTCTCCCTACTAAGAACCAGCAAGTCATTCTGCCATTCTGGTACCCCTAAAGATTTGTTAGAGGCCGTAATACAATCTTCGACCGAAAGGATTACTGATTTTTGGGAAGTCCCCATATACTATGAAGGGGACCACAGACTTCGCTTAGTTTACATGACGCATAAGGTACATTGGCTTCCTCATCCGTTCTGGTGCGCTGGAGGCGCAATGATGCTGCTCGCAGAAGAGATCCGGGGCCAAATTGGGTAGGTCCTCACAGTCGAGCTGTTATTCTCGTGTGTATAGATGATGGAGCATTTGCGGCAGACGGAGATGTTTGTTGGGGGTGGTTACCTTTTTCAAAACATGACTCAAACACATCCATTCTCAACGGGGCACATGAACATAGGCAGACCTTGATTTCAATACAGGGCATACACCATCATCGGCCGATGACGCCACACGTATCAGAATCAGTTGCAGTGGCCTCCATACTTAAGCCTCATGTTTGCTGCGCAATGCCAATGACCTCACCCAACCTCAGCTTAAATGGCGGTGGGTATAGAAAATCTGAGCAGGAATAATCCCAAATTAGCTTCATGTCAGTTTCCGAAATAACTATCAAATCGCCTGTGCCTGCGAAACTCTCAATCCCCTAAAAATTCGACTATAGTAGTTTCCATTGTCTTTTCCATCATCCCCATGTAACCCCAATATAACCCTAAACCCTAAGCAATCCCCTTCAGCAGGATGCTCTGGTGGCCATGGATGGCCACATTGGGGTGCGCCCCAGCCTTCGTTCAGCATGAGCTGTGGAGAATACACAGGGCTCTGCGCTGAAGGGTTTAGGATGAAGGGTTAAGGGTTTAGAGTTTAGTGTTGAAGGGTTTAGGGTTTTAGCTTTTAGGGCTTTCGACATCAGCTGCTGGAGTCGCTCCGTACGGATAACTCCCGCCCTCAAGCTCAATGTATCCTATATTAGGGCTGTTAAGGGACCGTTGTAAAGGTGGACATAGGCGTCGTTTTGGTAGTTTAGAGTAGTCCCTAGTATATTCGTATATTCCTAAATAGGAACCCATGTCCGTTAGCTATCTGGAAATATGGACTGTAGCTGGCATACCCAGTAACAGAAAACCAAGCGCTCTTGGGATCTACTGTTGTTTTCTGCCGCTAGCAGCTAGAGAATCAGAAAGCTCTAAACCCGAAAAGCCTGAACCTGAATCCTGAGCACTTCCTCCCCACCCGCAGCTCCATCCTCATCAATCTGAAGCTCGACTAACGATGTCAAAAGAAACGATGAAAAGAGTTGGCAACGAATTTGCCCCCAGAAGTGCTCTGAGTTGTTTAGAGTGGAGGTACTGAACAGACAGAAGAGTCTACCCTTTGCGCACAAGGCACGACTTCTGATGGTGTGTTCCTTTGTTGCTGCGGGCTACAGTACGCATTCACTTACGTAAGCATTTCCTTGGTCTCTCTACCGCAGTGGCCCTCCCGGGGGAGTGAATATAAGCTACCAGTATATGGGTAGATATGGGGATCGGGATTATTATAGGCATCCGCTCCCCCACTCCCCCTTAAGTCCAATAAGTCACTTGCAGGTGTTGCTATCAGGTATTATAGCGCTCGAATACTTTATCCCCATGCGGCCAGCTTGTATTGTCTTGTGGGATACATTCCAGCAAGAAGCCCAAACAACTCAACTGTGGGGACAGCTCGGGCGAAATGTAAAGTGCTTACAACACCCTCGTAGCCTTGGATTCAACCCTGCGAACCCTTTGTCAGCAAAGCCCGCTGAGTTGCGCTGAAGGCATAGCTGTCTCCAAGTCATCAGTAGAGTGAGATGATATCCTCCTGTTGGGTACAGGACGCAATTTTACAAGAAGATCATTTGACTTGATTCAGCCACGCAAAAAACACATTACTCCATGATTTTCACCTTGGTTAGGAATACGGCGGCTTCAGTCAGAAGGACCTCTCCCCCCAAAAGCAAGATCCTGCGAGACTGCGTGATTCGCACATGACAACACAACCTCAAGGGTTCCGTCACTGCCTCCCAAAAAGGAATACCTCTTTTAAAAAGGAGAACTGCAAGCAGGGCTTCACGGTCCCAAATAGTAGGGAGGGTTTCTAGCGGGGCAGTTGGGTCACTGATGCCTAAAAACCTATTCCCTAGACCCCCAACCCTAATCCCTAGACTCTACACCCTAAACCCCAAACCCTAATCCCTAAGCCCTCAACCCTACCCCTTAGACCCTAAGCCGTATATCCCTAAACCCTAAGAATCCTCCAGCAGCTTGTCAGGAGCTCCTGTCCAAAATTGTTCTTCTGGCCCAGCTGGAGGCGCAATCTGAGCCCTGTACAATCTGGGTTGCTGTTAAGGACCTTAGGGTTTAGGGATAAACTAGTATAACAAGGAAACCTGGAAAGGCACACGAAATCAACAACAGTACACAACGACTAGCGCAATTCTTGGACGGGACCCGCATATGCCCGAAGGACCCCATCAGTCGTTGAAAGCGCATACTGAGGTTGCAAGGTCACTTGTGGGAAGCTTTCCTTGTTGAGGCCTTCATCGGATCCACAATCTCGTCCAACAAGTGGCTGCATATCCCTAGACATCTCTATAGCCCCTCCATATCGCCTAGATACCCTAATATAATGCCTACATATCTCTCTATAGCCCCTTCATATCCCCTAGACCCTAAACCCTAAACCCTAAAAACCCTAAACCCTAAAAACCCTAAACCCTAAAGACCCTAAACCCTAAACCCTAAACCATACCCTAATACAATCCCTAAACCTCAGGCTAATTTTTCCAAGCCTCAGTCCCTGGAGGACACCGTCAGAGCAGAGGAGGTCCTGAACGTGGCACCAGTTGAGGGTCTTCACCTCAGTAAATTAGGGGCCTAAATAATATAGGGGTTACACAGGGGTCATAAAGGGGTTATATCGGGGTTATAATGGGATTATATAAGGGTTATATAGGATATAGGGGTTATTTGGGGATAATGGACAACAAAATGGAAACTACTAGAGTATAATAGGGTTTAGGGGCCTAAATACTATGGGGGTTATTTTGGGATAATGGAAGAGAAAATGGAAACTACTATTTTATAATAGGGTTTAGGGGCCTAAATAATTGCCAATATTATGGTTCCATATTCCTCGTGTATTATTGTCTATGGTACCTCAAATGGACCTCGAATGATATTGGTAATTATCTAGGCCCCTGTAGTTTGTCTACCTTGGCCCGCCAGGTACCCTCAAATCGGGGCTAACGGGCATGTAGGCCATACTTCAGGGATCCAAGTATATAGATACAACTCCTAGTTTGGGCCCTTGGGCCCCAGAGTGTTTGTAAACATTACCTACATTGTGGCAGGATGCCTTAACATTCAGCCACCTCATGCTTTGCGTCGTCCAACGGTTGTGCTCGGCGTGTCAGGAGATGCTTCCAGCTGGCAGCTTCATGTGTAGCTGCTTACTGCCAAACTTCTACCAGCTGATGTGATATGATGCTATTCAGTCCGGTATGTTGCATCGGCATTCGAGCCCCGCCCTTCTCATAGCCTGAAGTCAGTTACATCATATCTTCTAAACGTGTTACAGGGTCACAGACGCAATGGCACAGCGGGAGGTCGCAATCGCAACGCTCGGCGATGAGCAACAGCAGCGGATAGCCAAGGCTGTCTGTTCCGTGTACGACCTGCAGGTGGATTCAGACGCTGTTGTTGAGTCGATGTATGCCTCATCTTGCCAATTCAGCGACCCATTGGTTCTTGTGTCTGGCCATGGGCACGTGAAGGCTCAGTTTCGCTCTCTTCGGATGCTCTTCCGCGAGATTGACTTCCATGTGGATGGTGTTGGCTTGATGGGCGAGAAGGTGATCATTGAGGCCACTGTCACCTACGTCCCCAAGTTTCTTCCAAGTGCTTGCGCACTGCGCCTGAAGCAATTCACGAAACTCACCTCAGCCGCTGGGCTGGTTGTCTTGCATGAGGACCACTGGTCCATACACGGAGTGCTGGGTGCAATCATGGGCCTAGGTTGGTTATACCAAACCTGGCGCCAGGTCCTGGGCACCAGCTCAAGTGTAGCTGTGGACCTTGTGTCTTGCCCCAAGCGTAAGGCATCCTAGGCGACTCCATCTTGTTTAATGACAATAACGGAAGACAGAGGAATACCCACACTGACTCAAGCTATCCAAGTTGGCTTGTTATAGCCCAGATGTTTCCGGGCAGACGTGATGGGATTCTGGATACTGAGAAACGAGAACCTCAATTTTCAGCTTGCCGCCCGTTGCTGTAACGCCTGGGGCAGCACTGACTGCTTGGGTCAGTGCAGCCGATATAGTCGGGTTTGAAAAGCAACGAGAGACCCGAACAAACATTGGGACCAGCTGTGGACAGCAATCCTAGGTTTCGCGCCTGACCGCATCAAAAAGACGCTTCAGGGTATGTTTTGGATTGGTTTAGGGTTTTCGGGGGCTATACTGGGATCATATAGTGCGTATGGGGCTTATATAGGCCGGGATCAGTTGAGCCGCAATTGGGCCTCACTCAAGAGGGTTTGGTTTCTTGAAGCCTGCCGAGCGTTAACTGGTGATGGACAAAGTCATGCATGTCGCCGTAAAGCTAAAGCGGGGAAGTATGGTAGCGGAGTATTCGCAGGGCCATGCGGGATGTCCACTATCAACAATATTCCCTATATCACAACCCCCTATAAACAACCTTTTTCAATCCAGGGTTCACTTAATGTTCCTTTTTCTTAGCCACTCGAGCCTCCTTTATTGGGGTCATATCTACATGAACCTTGAACCCTGTATATGGTACTACCTCAACCGTAAAGTCTTGTACTACCAGCCGCTTTGGATTGTTCGGATCCCTACCGAAAGCCTGGCTCTTTTTACTTGGGCCGAGCCTTCAACGTAAGCCCTAAACTGTCAGTCCTAGACCGTAAACCCTAAGCCCTGGACCCTCAATCCTAAACATTGAGCCTCAAATCCCTAATCCCAAACCCTAAACCCAACTTAAACCCTAAATTCTAAACCCCAAACCCTGAACCCCTAACCCTTTGGTCCTCTCCATCTTCCACCCCCTAGGTTGGTTCACTTCGCGGGAGTGCCAGGCCCGACTGAGGATTTGACTTACCTTGGGGGCCTTGAAGGGGATGATGTGGGATTTCGGATGCTAGGGTTTAGGATTTTAGGATTTTAGGGTTTCGGATTCTAGCGTTATTTAGGGTTTAGGGTTTTTGGGTGTATAGGGTTTAGGGTTCAAGATTTAAGGTTTAGGGTTTAGGCTGTAGGGTACATAGCTGGACCCCCGAACGTATGTGGAATTATGTGTTGTTTTGCTCTTCTGTTGGTCTTTGTGCCAGTACTTCACTTACTTGGAAGGTCGGGAAGTATTTGAAGTAATGATACAGGGATATAGAAAGGAGTGGAAAAGAGCTTCGAGGCTACCATAGAAATTAGGGTTCAGTGTTTGGGTAGTAGACTTGTTTGAGCAATACAGAATAAGAGCATCTACACCAACGAAAGCTCTATCGTCAACCGATCTCTTGGCAGTGGCATGTGCGTGTGTCAACTGGATCGGAAGTCTTGACAAAGAGCTGCAAAGTCTTGTTGCTGCCTAGAGCCCCTTCTTTTGTGTTGCAGTCATAAGAAGAAAGCTAGGAGCCCCTTCTTCCCACACAAGGGATTTTTAGTGGGGTCCTATACTTGTTCCCCGCCATATTAGAAACCTTCATAATATTGATTGTCTAGTCTCTACAAATTTCCAATTTGTTGCCATGGTTTCCAGGTCATTACGCTAGCAGAAAATGAGACCCCCTAAACCCTAGACCCTAAACCCTCAATTCTAAACCCTGAATCCTAAACCCAACCCTACCTTGCTTCGAGGTTGGCTGTGAGCTCGTTGAGGCACTAAAGAGCCACGATGCTGAAGCTCTTGCTGGGCTGCAGACCCCCGGCTCACTTTTTGGTTTAGGGTTTAGGGTTTGGGGTTTCGGGTTTAGGGTTTATTTTTGACCAGTGCTCTGCAATAAATATGGGTTGGGTCATTCCCCCATCCAGCAACTGTCCTTAAAGGGGGCCTTATTAAGGGGCTATTATAACTCCTATTACCCCTTGTGGTAATTGTTACTGCAAGGGGGAATGACCCAAAATATGGACATGGTTCGAAACTTGAGCCTCCAAAAAGGCCTAAACCCTGTACCCTAAATGGTAATTTCCATTTTCTTTTCCATTATCCCTAGATAACCCCTTGATTTGGTCAAAAGGGATACAAGTATTCAGGTGCATTCGCTGATATATATATATATATATACGCACAGAATAATGTGGGGTTTATATGGGGTTTGTATTAGGGTTTAGGGTTTAAGGAACCCCATGTACATCCAGGTTTTTGTCTAAAAGTGCTTGCTGGCAGTGCATATTCTCATCTTGGCACCTCAAGCTGTGCTAGGCTCAAATTAGAGAATGCAGCTCGTTTAGCTGACAACAGCTTCTGCAGAAGTTAGATGGCATTTTCGTTTCTGTACCACAATTTTATTTGGCTCTTCCATTCGAAGAACTGCCTGCCTCAGGAAGGAACAGATCTTCACCTTCTTGCAGGTGGAGGCAAAGCAGCAAGTAGACAACTTGACTTCCAGCACAGCAATAACATGTTTATTGGTATAATTATGACCTATAGTTGCTGTTAAGCACAAATGAGCGACACGCAGGTTTCTTCTTCTTCTTCTGATCATCATTGTCGTCCTTGCGTTTCTTTTTGCCATCTGCAGTGTGCCATCTTAACCCATTCTTTCATTCCATAGGAAACTGTTCAATTCTCAAGCCCTAAACCGCTGCTGCAGGTTGCCAGGGCCGTGCGGCAGCTCAAGGCAAGCGGTTTTGAAAGCCGACAGGGCGGCAGGGGTGCTTATGATTCTGATTTTTGCCCAAAAGCTCCATGTAGCTATATCGTATATACTTGGGGCCTAAAGGGGTTCCCATATATAGCCACTTTCGCGCCCAAGTATATACCAGATAGCTACTTGGAACCTTTGTGTTGTCTTGTTGCGGAATGTAACGAGGGGTTTTATTCCGAAGCTTTTGCTGTTTGAGTGGCTGCGCAACTTTAGGTTCGTAGGATTGTAGTAGTCCCCTCCCCCAAGTATTAAACCCCCCCACCCCTTGATATTAAGTACTCGCAATATCTTCCAAAAAAAAACATACTGGGAGTAGCTAAGGGGAGGGGAGTATGTGATGGCTGCCGATTTTGCCTGTCTTGCAGCTTGACCTTGGGCCTTCTATTCCAAACGACCCGCTGGATCCACAAAAGGCTGAAACCATTTGAGACATAATATATAGTCCTTAAAACGGGTTATATAAGGGATCAAATAGTGGACTACTATAACTATAACCTCCGGGTGTTCTGTAGCCAGCAGTGTCGATGGTGTAAGAGGAACAATCATCTAGCTCAGTGCTGAATCGAGTGTTATGTCTTGATACTAAAGCTCATCAGGGAATACAAAGTTACAGTCGTTAATGGATTAGGGGGCTATTGTCGACAAGATTACCAGATGTTTGAGCTTTTAGGGTTTAGGGCTTAGGGTCTAGGACCCTAAACCCTAAACCGCTTTAACACCCTAAGGGTCCAAGGACCTAAATATTTGGGTTTTAGGGCCCAAATACCATGAATATTATAGTATTTGGGCCCTAAAGCCCTATTATTTGGGTCCTTGGACCCATAGGGACAGAAAATAACACGGTTTATCCTTAACGGTACCTCAAGGAAGACCGAGCCATGACCTGGTCCTAGGGGTTTATTCGGGGTAGGGATTAGGGTGTAGGGGTTTAGGGTTTAGGGGTTAGGATTTAGGATTGAGGGGTTTAGGGTTTGGGGTTTAGGGAAGTTTAGGGTTCGAGATGCACTTGCTTGCTGGTTGCCCGTAGGGAATGAAGGAATGGAAAAGGCGATTGAAACTATTATAGTCACTATGTTATTCGGGGGCTCTGGTTTAGAGAATTGAGATGAAAACAGAAGCTACAACCTCATTATTGGGCTATAGTTACTATAGTATTTGGGTATGCTGGTTTGGGGAATGGAAAAGAACATGGAAGCCCCTCCTGGGTCCAAGTGAAGGCTGCAATATCCAAATACACTTTTTCTGCTTCTCTGAAATTCAGGGTTTCGGGTTTCGAGTTTAGGATTTAGAGTGAAGAGTTTAAGGCTTTAAACCCTGAACCTGGGACCCTAAACCCTAGACCCTAAACTTGAAGACACCCAGAGGAGCTGAAAGCAGCTCTTGAGAACATGCATGAATTGAAATGTTCATGAATAGGTTGCAGTGAAAGTTTGGTGGCTTTACGGTAGAGAGTTGGCCCCTTACACTGTGTTTGGAAAGGTTTAAATGTCTTAGACGCACGGGGGGCTAAACTAATGCTGGAGGTGCATTCAATAAGGTCTTGCGCATTGGCTGTAAGAGAGATCGGCTGGTAGATGCCAGAACCCTTCGTGACCCTAAAACCTTGCCGGAAACCTTGGATACCATGGTAATATTATGGTACATTAAACACGGGCTTTAGTATCAACCCTATGCACCCTCACCATTGCGGTCTTTGGCTCGTGGCAGGTTGCGGCGCTTGCACCACGGGAGGTTGCGAGACCGGTTCCCAGCATGGAAGGGCTTGGCAATCTTTGCCTATAAGGCCACGGAGTTAAGGGTTTCAGGTATAAGGTTTATCATTTAGGGCTTTGCAGTGCCTATCCCAGGGCATCCAAGTATACTATTTTAACCGCATTGGGTTCTAAGGCCTGCAAATATTATCTACATTTGGCTACTTGGATTTTTGGGGGTATTCGGATCCTTCCAATGCCTCATACTCTTCCAGGACCCTAAACCCGGAACCCCCAACCCTAAACCCCAAACCCTATCATAGCCCGTCTGAGTCTCCAACAGCCTACACTGCCCTCATCCCCTCCGTCAGGAAGTCTGGCAGCCGGTGCTGAAATCGTAGGTGGGGCTGGAACAGTGAGGGTTTAGGGTTGTAGAAGGTTTAGGGTTGCAGGGGTTTAGGGGCGTAGGGATTTAGGACTGCAAGGGTTTTGGGTGTAGTACAGTTCTCCCTACCAATCGAAGAATGGCATTTCCTTTATTCACTGCATACCTGACCTTCAAAAAAGGACCTAGGCCGTTTGGAGGAAGAGGTGATGCAAATGAGCTATAGTCCAAACTCCTAGTGACCCTTATCATCCTTCCCTCTATGATCCCTATTATAAGCTACTGTCTATAGTTGCCTAATTAAAGGACCATTCACAGTGGACATTATGGTCCTCTTGTAGTTTAGCACAGTCCCTAATTTAGTCCCTCATAAGGCTGTTACTGGGTGGGGGCAGTACCCAACCCGAGCCCTAACCCTGAACCCCCAAGATCCCTATTAATCAACCAAATATTAACCCTGAACCCTATCTTAATAGCTTCCATGTTCTTTTCCAGTATCCCTATTTAATCACCCGAGTATGAACCCAAATCCCTATTTAACCCCAATACATACCCTATAATCTTTGTATAGCCCCTTTATAATCAGTTTAATCCAGATAGTTTCCATTTTCTTTTCCACCCTAAACCCTTAAACCCTTAAACCCTAAACCCTCAAACCCTAAACCCCCAAGCTGAGGCAGTCCCCAGGAGCCCGTGGATCCTGCCGATCTGTTGATGTGATCGCCGAGGAGCCGAAGGAGTCTGAGGGGTATATTGGGATAATGGAAAAGAAAATGGAAACTACAGGGATTATAGGGAGTTTATGGGGATTTAGGGTTTAGGATTTAGAGTTCAGGGTTTAGGGAGTAGAATTTAGGGTTGATGGATTAGGGTTTAGGGTTTCGGGTTTGGGGTTTAGGGATTAGGGTTTGGGGTTTAGGGTTTGGGGTTTGGAGTTTGGGGTTTAGTGCTTAGGGTTTTGGGGACCCCAGGGGGATAATGGAAAAGAAAATGGAACCTACCATCTAGGGTTTAGGGTTTAGGCTCTTCCCCCCTTAGTGTGGGCCTTCATCCTCGGGTCCTTACATTGATCATATAGATGATAACAAACATGTATATATATATATAGATATCTTACAAGACCCTATGAGCCCGGCCCATAGTAGGGCCCTGGAAGCAGGATAGGGTTTGGGGGACTTTTGGGGGTTGTAGGGTCTGGGGTTTCAAGCTTTGAAGGGTTAGGGTTTAGATCGCGAAGGTTTGGGGTATTTATGGTTTATTTAGGGTTTGGGGCTTGGGCTTCGGACGTCTAGCATTACGGCATTTGAGGTTTCAGGAAGTTTGCGGGTAGGCTCGGGGCTCTCAGCAAGGCGTTATCGTTTTAGGGCAATACAATCAAAGACGTAGACCCTCTAACTACCCTCCTAGGACAGCCACAACTGCACTGCTGTCTTGCAGTGCGATGTTCGATCATTCGCTTAATTCTGCTTCTATACGAAAAAGATTCAGTTACGCGAGTAGGAGGAGCTGCGTGATGTAGCAGAGATTGCTAATCTGGCTCAAGTTTAGGGTTTAGGGTTTAAACAGGATGTTTGACATAGGTGCGTGACGCATGTCAGTATGATATTCATCCTCGTCGCAACTGATGTCTATCTTTGGCAGTGTGTATGGCTGCAGCCAAAAGATCTGAAATTCCACAGCCTGATTTGTTTTCAAATCTCCGAACCCCTAAACCCTAAACCGTGTGACTCACAGGGAAATTTTGGGTTCAGGGCTTAGGGGTCAGCTTCAGCGATGACAGGACTGTCGATCCACGCGCTGAGCAAGATGATCCTTCTAGCCGATCCTTCGCTCTAGATTGAGAGCTGCGCCAGCTTTGGTGATGCGTTGTTCGTTTGTCCTACCTCGTATGTAGCCGCATGGTAGTTGAGGTCTTGAAAAGGGGGCCCTGCAAGAGTTTCATGATAATATGTTGCATGCCCAAGGTAGGATCTGCGATGGTTGTTGAAATGGGACGGCGCGCTCAAGAATGAGTGAACGCTAAGCTTGCACGTATTTGCGCCCATCGTGCGAACTTGGCACTTGCGTTGTACAGATCGCGCAGTAGACCGCAAAAGGCGGAGACGGAACACTGCTAAAACCGAGTGTCCAGGATATGTTTGGACATTTCTGGAGTGTCTGGAAAAGTGCTGGCTGTCTCATGTTCATGGCATGCGGATGCATGCGTACTGGTAAGATCCTTTACCTGAGATAACTCAACAAGACGGAGAGGCCTTGCGACCACTTGGGGTTCTTGTAGACGGGTTTTCGTACCCGGGACTGGCTAGCTCCAGAATGAAACAAACTGCGCATTCGGTCCTTTGCGAATTTTGCGAATTCAGCCCGTGCTCCCGGACTGCAAACGCCTAGACCTCAGAACCTTAGTTCTCCGCAGGCTCTAAGCTTTCGAAAGCTGGAAGTGTTGAAGCGCAAGGAATTGCAATCCCAGAGCCGAAACCAATTGTGCCAACTTACAACCTAAGCACCCCCTCCCCTTCTCATCCTCCTCCTCCTCCTCCTCCTCCTCTGACCTTCCCATTTCTTAACCCCTAAACCCATTATTATAGTCCCCCTTAAGTAGATAGAATATGGCTCTGGGTAAATTATCATAAGATCCCCATATACCCCATACTCTATCTACTTAAGGGGACTATAACCTGATGCCCTAAACCCTAAACCCCAAACCCTAAACCCCAATCCGTAAACCCTAAACCCTAAACACTAAAGGGGGACTCTAACCCCAAACCCTATTCGCGTTCCCATTCGCAGGCAGGAGACGGACGCCCACCCACAAGCTCAGCTGTCCCAACAAGACGGCTCTGACCATCATAGGATCAAGGGGGTGGTTTAGGGTTTAGGGGCTAGGGAATGGTCCCCTGGTGATGAAGGTCAGAACTAGGGGCCCCTGATATGGGCCCTTAAGGGTACATGTTGGGTATAGAGTAGGTATGTAGGGATCCCAGGGGTAAGGGGCCATACTAGGGGCCCATGGTTTCAATCTTAAATTGTGGCGTCCTGCAGGCGCCATGTCTATGTTGTAGCTTTTGTAGCTCCGATATCTAGTATGTCGCAGGGGCAGCAGCCGGTGTCAAAGGTTGCTAGGAGCCAATGAGGCAACAGATCCTGAGCCTGAGAATTATCTAGTCTCTGGCAAAGGAGCTAACCCCTAAACCCTAAGCCCGAGGGTGTTGGCACATACTTGGGATGTCAAGGATTTTTCCTGAATCCTTACAGCTTTCGTTTCCTAATTTAAAGCTTTATGGCGTCATGCGGCCAGCATCCTGCCACACTTAGCGGCCACTGTTATTGTAATTATTATTATTATTATTGTTATTGTTATTATTATTGTTATTATTGTTATTAGTAGTATTATTATTATTACGTCTACTACCACTACGACGATGATGACAAAGATGAGGATCCTGTATCAGCCTTCCCTGCGCAACGCTGTTACTGCTTTTCTGAACCCTGCCACTGCTTTGACGCATCAAGTAACTATGGAGCTCCAATGCCCATGTTTGAAGCGTGGAGTTGCAACAGGGAGAAGAGACAATGGGGGTTGCCGTCAAGAGTCGCTGGGAGTTGGAGATTCCATACTTTCCCAAAGCTTCTGTCGCCAAAGGTGCAGAGCTCTGCTTAGCTTACTTCTAGAGATCAGGGAGCTTCAATCTAACTAAGTGCACAGGTTAGTGCTGGCCTTATGATAACTGTCAATAGTGCCACAAACGCTAGACCCTCGGGCTCCAAGTCCATAATCCCAAATTTAGGCCCCAAAGTCTATAAACAGAATCTGACTATATACTACAGAGGCTATTGAGGGGGATACTAGGACCCAGGAGTTTGGATTATATATAGCTCACAGGGAGCCCCTGGAGAGGCAAACCTATGAGCTTTCTTCCCTGCAATTGCAAGCTGCAAAGTGAAGCTCCTAAATCTCATAGGTTGGACGATGTGGACAGCAGATCCTGGCCATACAAAGCCTTTACAATAGGGACCTAGAACTTAGGGTTCAGGGTTTAGGGACATGGTCCTAGAGTCCCTATGGTGTAGTATAGGCTGCCTCGGCTAGACCTCAAAAATGATACTGTGGTGGATGCTACAAATCCTGCATGGTCCTGAATACCAAAAACCCCTAAACCCTAAACCCCTAAACCCTGAATCCCCAAACCCTAAGTCCCCAAACCCTAAACCCTAAACATATGAGCAATAGTCTAAACTCAATTAAGGGGGGTTATATGGGGGATTATATACGGGTACTACTATAGGGGATATTAAGGGGGATACTAGGAGTTTAGACTATAGTTCATATAGTAAGGCCATGGAGGATTTTTAGTATCCACAGTGCTACTTCTTCAGGCTCCCAGGTGACAAGGCTGCTTGCTGGGAAGCCTGGAACGATTAGCTCTAACATCTAAAGCCTCAGAGGGTTTAGGGTTTAAGGGTTTAAGGGTTTAGGGGTTAGGGTTTAGGGTTTAAGAATTAGGGATTAGGGTTCAAAAATTAGGGTTTAGGGTTTAGGGTTTAAGGTTAGGGTATCATGGATACCGTCGGATAGCTGAGGGTTTAGGGTTTAAGGTTGGAGGAATCCAGAACTTCTAGTGTGACTTTCCTCCAGTCTACGGATATAGGGTTCAGGGTTTAGGGTCTCGGTCCAACAGAAATACCTAGCTCGAATGGTAGTTTCCGAAATTGGGGAAGCCAATGTAGACCCCAATATAGTCTAATGCTCGTTATAGGTAGCCGCTCAAAGGGGAGCCCTAATCAGTTTAGGCAAATCCTGAACCCTCAAGACCACTATACAGTCCCAGTTTTCGTTTCATTTTGCCTGGTCTTGTCCATCTGATTCTCCTGCCTTGGGGTCATATTAGTTATATCAGTAGAAACCCAAACTTTAACGTAATAGTTTGACATTTCATGTTCCATGTGCTGTCCACTCGATTGTCAAAATTGTTCATTATTACCCTGAGCCCCTATGTAGTCCTAAAACCCCTAAACCGTTAAACCCTAAACCCTTAAACCCCTAAACCCTAAAACCCCAACCCTCAACCCCTAAACCCTAAACCTCTTAGTCCCATATGGTGGCCAGGGGAAGCTGCAATTTCACGTTATAGCGGCTTAGGATGTCGCAACGGAAGGTCTTCTGTCGAACTGCGGACTCCATAGGGTCTACCTTAGACCGAAAAGACCTTCAGTTTTTGGACCCTATGGTATAATCCTTTATATGAAATCCTAAAACTGAAGGTCTTTGGGGTCTAAGGTAAGGTTTAGGGTATAGGTTCAGGGTTTAGGGTGGATAGATTGAAAATCCCCCCTGAAAGTCTACGCCCTGGGCTTACTGGGGGGGTAAGGGATTCTTACATGGGGACTAAGTAGGGATTCTATTCCCTTATTCCCCACCAACAGTAAGTAGGCCCAATGTAGGTGCTATTTGTGGACCTAGAGCCCCAGGGACTAGGATTGGCTCAGCCAGGTTGTTGATTTTCCGCTTCCTGTTTTTTTGGGAGCCCTCTCTGATGTTCCTTTTAGTACCCCTCTTGCCCCCACTGATATTGGAGGCTGCGTGATGTGCAGAACTTGCACAGGCCTTCGTTAAGCCTTAGTCTGTGTTCCACATACCATGCTATTTGGGCTCCCAATATAATACGTCTTCATAAGGGGCCATCATTCAGCGCCATCCGATCCTCAGCGCTAGTACCCGCAAGCATCCAAGCTTCGAGATTCGAACTTGTTGCTAGCCTACCTAGACCCCCATACCCTGCCCCTTTTTGAAGGTAGCCCCTTTTTGAAGATACCTAACTTTATGTCTATAGTTTATTCTATATACAGGATTAGGATAATTAGGTACAGATAAATTGTTGTGATGACAGCTTGAGGTTGTCCCATACATTCCAAGCTGTCACAGAGAGGTTCACTGCGAAATGAAGACATTAATGCTTTGAGTCATTGATGCCCTTTTTCCCTTAAACCCCAAACCCCTAAACCCTAAACCTTTACACACTAAACCCCTTACATACCCTGAACCCTAAACCCTAACACTTGAACCTTAATCTGTTTATTTTGGTTCATCTGCAGACGAACCCAAACTGTCCAACCCCACTGAACCCCTAGACCCTGAAGCCTAAACCCTAAATCCTAAACCCTAGCCTTGTCCAGGGCGGAGTCTGACGCCTGCAAGGCCCGCACCTTGGGCCACCGGTTGCTGCACTTGAATTCAGGGTCTAGGGTTTAGGGTTTAGAATTCAGGCTCTAGGGCTTAAGATTTAGGTTTTAGGGTTTTAGGGTTTTAGGGTTTTAGGGTTTAGGGTTTAGGGCTTAAGATTTAGGGCACATTTGGGGTTTATATGGGCATGTTACCCCCCCCCCCCCAATAATGGAGAA